GCGACATATGGGAGATACAATGCATCTTCTCTCGCATGTATCTTAATAAACCGATCTCACAGGTTATACCTATCAATATGCAACAGGTTTGTATTTCTTCTTCGCATGCTGGTATGCCTGTAGACAAAATAAGCGTACCCGCACAAGCACCTCGCCGTTCCTCAGTCGGATATGGTCAGTAGCTTTTACGGGTGGAGGTGATCGCTGAATGTTCACTGTTTAGCAATGCCCACGGATTAGATTCACCCGGACACGAGAAGGTTACTTCTTTTCATTGAAGGTTTGGGGTGGCGACCAACATGTCATGAATGGCACCGGAAATATTGATCTTTCCCAGAGATCTGAGTTCAACATTCCGCGCCACCAGTCTCAACACCGTCGGAGAAGCAGAGAAGACTCCGGCACCATCACTTCCTAGAATGTCTGGATTTGCGCTCCACTTGAGTCACTGCTTTTGCATGTTCGCAACCACCGATAGCTAATTTTATTCAATCGAAGGTCCCCCGATCGACTTTCCATTTCTACTTGGCTTCGTGTGGCAACCTCGCTTCCGTTAATAACGATCCTGATTTCGGTCATAACAGCAGGGGATGGTGGTATATCTAGCACAAACACCATACATCCGCCTCGAGTGCCACGCCGCTCACACCTCTTCTCAAACAGCATGACCATAGTCTCAAATGATCCAAGTTGGTGGCCATCCATTGAATCAGATCGTATTCTCAGCTATATTATAGGTTCGTTGAGAGCTGGATGATGACCGTGATGTCTCGATCTAACATTGGCTCGGGTTTCGCAGTTGCTTCCTCGGCTGGGGTGATATATGATTGGGGTGAGCAAGATAATATTCCAGAACCACTTGTGTCCTTATAGTCTCCACAGCACTGACTCTTGGACGAGAGGTAGGTTGATGCTATTACAGGAGCAGCCATCTCACTCAGAATTATTCTTACAGATCGAACTGGTCTGGGCGAGTAGGAACATACTATGATGCAATTGTAATTCATTTGTAACAGAGGCAACGTTGCTCCCTTATGACCGTCCTATATCTGAGTGTATGTAGTTTTTGTCATACGTGTACTTGGGGGGTCGTGCTGACTTGACAATATCCTAGGTGCGCTACGTTGGAATATTATATGCTGTGTATGTTTAGCATGCTGAGAATTGGTGTTGTGCTAATCAGCCATCTCTCGCAATCAGCTGCCAGATTCTGGGTATGTCTTCTCATCCACACCGTGTTCCCTTCCTCTGACTGGCAGCGTACAGCCGATGTTCCGACAATCTCAGGGACAGATACAGTGAGTTCTCTGCACTAATGTCTGCCATTCCCATTCAACCAACTATGCTCCCATGTAGGGGTGAGTGAGATTCTTGACCAACTTCTTGGTTCAACATAATGACTCCCGCAGCTGTGAGTTTGTTTTGAACTCGTGATTTTTTGTGGCTGATCACGAACTGCATTGGTCAGGTCTGATTACGTTCGTTGCGATAATTTGGATGAATTTTGTCATAGATGTGATACTGGGTGGTGAGTTATGCAGCTGCAACATCTCAGTGATATTTACACGACTGAAACATTGCATAAGTCATCATGATCGCTCGGTTAAATGCCATGTATCAACGATCCAGAAAAGTGCTGATAATTCTCATCACCATATTTCTGGCTGTCTACATCGGCGTTGGAGTGCTCACCGCGATAACAGGAAGGCACAGTTCAGGGGGTAAGCTTAATTATAGACGAACGACACCGGGCTCATTCAAGTTGACGAATACCAGAGGAGCTCATACTTTCTGGCATGCATCTGTGCACTTTTGATGACAGAGGTGGCATACTTCTGTTCATCACCGCTGGGGTACTTGGTAGTACTGTATGGGAGGTCGTTGCACTGGGTTTTGCAGTCTGGAGTGCTATAAAACACTTCCGTGAATTGCGACGATACTCGGCAGGAGGCATTGTTGGGGACTGTTTTGTGGTGTTAATGAAAACCCATATTGCTTACTTTTTAAGGTGAGCCCATAATGCCAATGCGGTTCTGTTTGTCCCCTGAAGGTTCGCGCATACTAGCTTTGCCACTGTGTCTTGCTTCCAGTTTGGTTATCTATCCCACAGGGTCGTAGCGGTATGTCCATTTGTTACCAACCTCTGCATGCAAGCACGGTTCATCTTTTCGACTCGATAGGGCCCGTATTCCCTTGAATATCAGCTTTATAATTATATTTCCCGAATTTTCTTCCTCGTGCGATCCTTTGCACTAGGACCACGTCTGATCCTTTGCGTTCGAGAATATCACGCGACGCTCCTGGCCGACTCCGATACCGCGACCGGCATGACTTCAATTGCTTTCCAGGAGCACACGCATTTGTCAACAAGCAGTAGTGTTTAGCATGAGACGTGTTCGTTGCGATTGACGATTGTTAGTTACTCTGCAGAGAGTGGGAGATTCTCTTTGGTTACAAGCTTCGTTGAGGCACTTATTCTAATATTTACGTTGTTTCATATTTCTAAAGTATGTTTTAGAGCGACAGGTCTGGGGAAACAGACATACATATTGTTACTTGCACTAGCTGCCCGTGTGAGTAGGCTACGACTCGGTTATCAATATAACACCCTGCAAAAGTAACCACCATCACATCACCAAAGGAATAAAAAGGCGAGAGATGGGATATTGGTGCGCGTGCTGCGCACGTGACCGACGCGACGGCAGAATCGGATTTGGTGAAAGGAATACGAACCATAAGATATAAACCCACAGTCACCTCTACCCATCCCTTAGTTCGTTCCGCGACGGGTAAGTTCACTCACATTACTTGCTTCATACCTAGATGCTGATGGTCCGAGTCTCCCTCGTAGTGTCTAGATTCATTGGGTTATGATCCCTGCTTTCTCTTAAACAAGAAAGCGGAAACCTCTAGGCACGATCAGAGTCATCGAGGCTACCTTGACTCGAGGAACAACGCACGCGTTTGTCTCCAACTAGGGCGAGCTGTCGAAGCATCGCCAGCTACTTCCTCCGTTGGCACCCTTACCAAAAAGGCTCTGGCTCAACATCATTGAAATAAACTTCCTACGTGCGAGGATTGGGACGCCAGTGATTGGTATCAATTTAATAGAGATAGAGTTTTTGAAGGATGGCATTGCACATGATATAAAACAAATCTGTTCGTCGTCTTAGTCAATTGCTCCTGAAAATCAGTCGACGTTATTACGTGGCTAGTGCGGTAGAAGCCGCTGTTCCTGCTGAGGGTAGAAAGGGCTCTGTCGATCGGCCCTCCTGTGCCATTTACGAGGGTCTGCAAGCAAATCAGAATTGTCGCCACTGTAGGAAAATGAGCTGGAGACCAGTGGACTGCACTTGGGAAAACGGATTGCAGTTCCTGTTCGTACCAAGCTCAAGTGTATTCTGTTTTCAAGCACATGTTCTTGGTAGGGAGGTTTTCATTCCCTTTTGTTAGCTCATGTCTATCGTACTAGAAATGGCTTGGTACTCATCGGAACGATCGCTACAATGTTGTTTGAATATGTCCATGCAAACAACCCACCGGGTCTGACCGGTGCTGCGCTGCGCACCAATGTTGGGCCGAGGGTGACGAAATGATGTTGTGAGGGAGATGCGTCAGCTTTGAGCGGTGATAGCCGTTCATTCGGTTTTGTTTTGGGGTTCGAGTCCATGATGCCAGCACGCCGTTGTAACTCGATGGAGTGGTAGTGACTCCAGTTAACTCCTGATAGCTCCATGGACGCACAGATTTGATGGATGCGCACAAAAAAGAAGGACGGCGTTTGTGCAATTTGATGAATAGTGTCACCACCCTGCTGCACTGCTCAGGAAAGAAAATCAAGGAATGTGAGTGAAAAAAACACGCCATTGCCAACAAGACCACACACAGGAAAGCTATAAGAGTCTTCGCATTGTCAGTGAACGAGCATCTAAAGTTACCCTAACAAACCGCCAAACACATTGAACATACCAATATATCTAGCGCAATATCATGTACACCGTGAGCCTTGCTTCTTCATCATTGGTATCGTCATTTTGACCTTCATTCACAGGTCACTGGAGTCCCTGTTTCTCAGCACTGCGGCTCAAGCAGCTGCGGAGGCGGCAGCTCGTGAGTCACACTGTACTTCTTCTCTTGTACAATGTTTGGGTCTGATTCAGAATGGGCAGGTGCCAATGCAAGCCGGGAGAGTGCAAGTGCTGAATACTGAATACCGAGCAGGTGGAGCTCTCGCATTTGGCCTCGGTATTTGATCAGAATAGTCATATTCATTACAGAATGGTCGTGAAGGAGTTGAAGTTTGAATTTGGACGTTAACAAAGATTTGCAAAGTCGCAGTGATGCCTGTGTGAGCGGCCTCGTCCTAAGTTTGTTGTTTCAGGGCAAGCCTGCCGTGGACGCCTCAAGTATTTGTTCTCCTCGCCTCCTCACCTATAACTCCCAGCAGGTGGCATCTAATGGATCGAATCTATTTCGTCATTGATCTTCACCAACTCACCTTCACATGCACACTATACTTGCCATCCTTAGCGCTCCATGCTGTGATTCACGAGGAAGATGCGTAGCCTTTAATTGGCAATTGCACAATGTACAGCGCAGAACTATCCGAGCTCTGATCTGCTGCCTCGAGGCTCGTGGCAGTGCAAGTCAAAATCTGTATGTGACATTCAGCCCGCCGGTAGACGCCCGCCGCGTCACCTACTACATAGGCTACACGCCACGCTATGGCTTGAACTTGCTAATAAGTTAACTTTGAGTCTTTCCCGGGCCTGAATGTGAATTATTGACATTGCGTACCTGGCCCCGTCCGACCAAGCCTATGACCTTCGTCAGGTTTCAACTTTAATGCAAAGTTGGAACCTATACATGTATGTAACCGCAGACCTAGTCGTGGTTGCCAGTCAAGAGACTTGTACCAAACTTGTGCTTACACAAAATGTAACGGTTGTAAAAGTTAGTAAGAGCAACTTATGTAACTCTTTTGCAAGCTTAAAACACGCCGTGCATGCTCCAGCCTGGCGATGATTGGTCACTCAAATATCTTCGTTACATCTGGTGCATGACTAGCGCTGACTTCCCGGTGTATGATTTCCCACTCATATCCAATACTCAAGACTCGTTGTACACCTCCGCCATGCCAAGAGAGTGGACTACGACTCGATGAAGCCCGAAGTAGGGTTCCTGTCTCTTGCTGAAGAACTATGGTTTTACATCCTCAGTTTTCTTTCTTGCCAAGATATTCTTCATTGCACATCCGTGAGTCACAATATGTCATATTCGTCCTAGACAGACTTTTTATACTGACGATCCGCTTGCACTGGCAGGTATGCAAGGCCCTTCGCCAGATGTACATGTTCTCTTCCGAACTTCAGTACATCGTTGAACTCAGTGGCCAACGCTTGCTTCCTGTCCCCAACACGGACAATCTCACTCCTGTTTCCCAACGTCTACAACTCTTGAGGGACAGAGCGCACGCATGGCTCAAGTTTGATATCCACTCCTTCAAAACGACTACCATGCCAAAAATATCGTACGATCAGGAAACATTTCTCACTGATGGGCATTTCTACTTCTGGAATGATACTCAAAATTCGGCCACGATCATTCCGACACTACCAAAGCCCTCGCAACAAGCCATTGAGCGCAACTGGTCTCCGAGAACGTCGTGTATAAATCCCTACTCGACCAACCTCAAAGTGTTCATGGACCCAGCACAAAACCTGATTGCCGTGGTGTATATTGATTATGCCGAGCTGAGGCATGATATTGACCTTAGAGCACTGGATAGTGATCGTGTTCACCCCCTGGCCGCCGGGCGGACGCTGTTTCTGTCTGAGCTGCTCAACTACGGCACCGTCAACGAGGGCATTGAAATGCCGCTAATGACACTCAAAGGTTGTGGGAGGTACATCGCGTTGCAGCGTGTATATATGGCTTCAGTTGAAGATGAGGATGGAGAAGGACATCTCCGCAAGTATATGTCGCAGCTAGAGATTTGGGACTGGCAACACTCGACGACATCTAGTGTGAGTTGATCCAATGTTGAAAAACTTGATGGTTGATTCTCTTTTTAGAGTGTCCTCAGCAACGTACTACGTTACCCAGCTATGAGCTCAACCGATTTTTGTTTTCTCGAAAACAATAGGTTGCTAGTTGTCATTGAGGATTTGAAGCTCTATTCAATCGAGGACATGGCACAGGCGCCGCAATTACTGGCGTGCTTCCTGCCGCCCCTCTTACTGTCAAACGTGCAGTGCCTCTTTCCGATGGATGATATTGAACATAGTGCACACCTGCAGACGCAAGCCCGACAAATGATGTACACCCCAGACCCTGCAAATCAACTATTATGCCTTATCGCGTCTGATCTGGTCTTCATCATTTCTACGAGGATCTTCTTCGTCCTCGATGGAATAGCAGTTGCAATGCCAATACCATGGAATCATTGGGGTCCATCAATCACGCGTGTTCTGGAGCACCCAAACCCATCTCGATGCAAAATTCACGTTCGCGGGAATCGAGTTTTGCAGTCATTCAAAGCTGATGCGGGTTCCGGGCAGTACGTGTTACGCTTGATGGACTTCAGCCCGCTAGCTGCGACGAACAGGCGTGGTCTAGGACGAGTGGTGAAAGAACCGTCGACGATAGTCATCGCTAAATCCACTGTCAGGTCGGGGGCCAGCTTGACAACGTCTCTGCCTTACGTCGAGGTCGTATCGGACAGAAGATTCGAAGAGTTACAGAACATATGGCTTGAGAGGGATAGAATTTGTTTGCTCAACTTATTTTGGGAATACACTGTCGTAAATTCTAGAGCTATTCGGCGTCCTTTAACGAGGTCTAGTAGGCTCGAGGTCATTGACTTATAGAGTAGAATCTGTTATCAGCTAGTCAACCTAGTTAGTTATGAAGACGAGTCGATGACCCTGTCAATGCTTAGACTAGTATCAAGAGTCAAGGCCTTCTTAATGGACTGTGTTGGAGTCGTACCATGGAAGTGAGCTGAGTGATTGAAAAATTCAACGTTGCAGAGGTACAACCTCGACATAGCAACGAAGTCTGGGTTTGTAAGTTACAGTTCGAGCGGGAAGAATAATTGATCTGCAAGTGAAGAGGAACGAAAACCAGACGAATCATGTTATGAAAGCGCGAGACAGTTTGGGATTGCGAGTACACAACATGTTTTGGAGACGCCAGAAAAAGAAAAGAAACACAGCTCACGAATCCTCAAGGCACAAGTCTTTTGAGGGAGCGCACGGACCAAACTTCTCAAGGTCTAGGGCGAGTAATGAAAGAGCCATGGAAGTTCGATCTTCGTGAGTTAGAGAGCATATGGCTCGATAAGGATAGGATTTATTTGCTCAACGCCAATTGGGACTGCGAAGTGGTAGGTTCTCTTCAGTATCTTACATCGCAGTCTAGCAGGTTTGAGGTCATCATTGACGTCTAAAGCAGAGCTCATCTGTCATCAGGTTTAAACCAACAGTTACTTATGAAGATGCATCACTGTCTCCTGCAACCATGTCGTCAAGTACGTCCTGTGAAACAGGTGTCATACATCACCATTCCGTTCTCTAGACATGCATCTATATATCTCACCTACTCTCAATCCTCCCAAGCTTGCGTATAGGACGCGTTATTTTGATGTGTTTGTCCGACGCGCATATATAGGGGGAATCATGCCGCGAAGGACCTGCATCTCAGATTCGATTCCTTAACAACAATCTTGAGCAGAGCCGTCATGCTACTGTGTCTGCTTACACACCGCATTCGGGCCTTTCAGTGTCATTTCTCTAAAATACAACGTCAGCATCGCCCCGGCTTCCGATATCTCACAATAGCACATCCGAAAGTTGCATCTTCTGGCCCCCAAGTGGCACCTCGTTCCCCGCGCAAACATGTTCATGTTAACGCAGATGACAGAAGTCGAACTCAATTTTGTGGAGGAGCCGTTGGGCATTCCCGCGGACCAGGGGCATGGCTATCTTCGCGTCGAATTTGGTGGTTCGATAGATCCGGAGAAGCGCTTCAAAATCATCCGCAAACTTGGGTGGGGCATGAACTCTAGCATCTGGATGGCTTATGACGAAATGTACATATCAATTAGTAGTCGTAGACGCGTTATTTGACGATTCCTGTAGAGACAAGAAATACATCGCGATCAAAGTGTTGAAAGGATATTCGACTGGTCTGTTCGAACGAGGCGTAATGTTGGAACTACCTGCCCTCGAACGTTCAACTCTTGGATCTCCGCCGCCTGGCCTCACGTCTAGTCATTGCCTCCATCTTCTCCATTTTTTCAAACAGCCTGGAAAGGATCGAGACGGGAACCATCTATGCTTTGTCACAGACGTTGTGGAGACGTCAAATCTCTCCAGAAAGAGGTTGCTCGGAACGAAGGCTTACCTTTACCACTAGTCAAGCGCATCATGATGCACACCTTGCGCGGTCTTGCGCATATGTACGCACTTCAGATAGTGCATACGGATCTCAAGCAGGACAACATCATGTTTGATATGGGCTCACTCACACAGGCTGATATTGCAGCCATCATCGAAGCGGACCCAACTCGACGCCATCCTCCAGAGGAGGGCTTGGATTGCGTTGTCCAGGCCGCCGTCTCTCAGCCCCTCCCTCTACCTTCGCTCGCTGATGCCATGACGCGCAACTACATCGTTGCAGATTTCGGGAGCGGTGAGCAACGATCTATTTTTTCAGGGCATATGGCAGGATTGACATGTGGCATCCAATAGCGCAACCTGCAAATGTTCATACAACCGACGAGATTTTCGCTTACGCTCTCCGTGCGCCGGAAACCATTCTTAAAAGCCCATGGAATGAGAAAGTCGACATTTGGGCATTTGGATGCATGGTATGTGATCCGTTTCCTGGGGTTTGAATTTGGTCAGCCTGAACCCAAACTTCGGATATTTGAACTTCTCACTGGTCGCGATTTGTTCGTATACAAGGCCTTCCCCGAATATAACCTCGACGAACCAACGGGACACCTGTGGCAGATGCTCTGCTTCACATGACACGGGTGCAAGTCGAGTCGAGTCGTCTTGGGACTAAATATTTCATCCTCGATAAAAACATCGACAACCCATTCTGTAGGTATCCTCTGGTTTCTTGAAACAGTGTTTACTCACGCATTGGATCCCAGGTAACTTCAAGGCCGATGTACCCATCTTTGACAACCCATTCGCTGCATCTCTCAGAAACTACAAAGTGATTAAGGAGGAAGACGTAATCGCGACAGCCAAGATCATGCAGAGGTGTTTGCGCTTGAATCCGGACGACCGAGCGACTGCGATGGAGTTACTCCAGGATCCTTGGTGGCAGCCTGAGTGATTCGTGATAGTCATCGTAGAGTTCGTGATTATCCTATCAACTATGATGATCCTGTCACTCACGGTCCTGAATCACAGCGTTCTTTTCTGACCGACATTATCCCTCTTCGTTTTGACAGTTTGGATGAAGTTGACGGCATTGATCGAGGGAATTCTGGCCCTGTACCATGGAAGACGTGAACCGAGCAAGGAGACAGGGTGCTAGTACACGAGGAATAGAAGTTCATTGAGGGGCCCCCGGTCCGAGCAAGGAGATTGTATTATTCCACTGAGCAGTATAATTCGTTGTTAAGAGCAAGACAAAGAACCGGATGCACTTGGATCCAAGACAGATTCAGGCTGATGTTGAAACTTGACATAGCACTTGTGAAGACTTTGACTTGTTCGGCTTGCGCACGGAATCACTAGAACCTTATATGGAAATGGATATGGAGGGGCCAAAGGAATCATCTTTTCATCAACACGTTCAATCCGGGAACGTTGCCTAGGGGCCCGCACCGTGAAGAGTGTCCTCGGTTCCAAGATTAGAGTGGTCAGCTGGTCCTCGTCCGAAAATCTCGGTTCCCAGAATAACAAGACCCCAGGAACCCATCTTCACTGTTCCAACAGTTAATATTCTTCTCCCAACACTGCGCCCGCTGTTAATTCCTCTGACTATACAAGAGTTAGTTCAACGCTCTCGTTCAACAAAAACTTATATCCCTTCATGTAGTCCAAATTCTAACTTATCCAAGCGCCCACCGTTCACACCGCTCGAATCACAAACGCCGTCGCCATCGCGCTCTTGCCTTCCACTCAAAGTTCATCCATCTTGGATCCCATGTCTCGGTCTGGCCTGATTGTTGACAACTCCATGTTTTCGTCAGTACTACCTCAGTAAACCTGCGACCATTTATTCGTCTTGTCGATCGGCGTTGCACTTGTGAGTTGGAGCTCAGTACAGATACAATTCGGCACGCAACTAATCAATACAAAGCAATATGCCAGAAGGTATGTTGTAAACGAAGGTGCTTCGAATGCATATCTCGCATTGTAAAGCGTGAGCGGTCTTGTGGGGTGATTGAATGACTGTACACGCAGTTTGAACGGTAATTGCTCGTACCTTGAAGTGATGGAATTATAGGGAACCACGAGTAACAGGGGACGGTTACCAGATTCATTCCAATGCTACATTTTCGGGGTCCAGGTCCATTTGCAAGGAGTTTCTCCACAATTTTCCTTTTCCTTCTGGCAGTTGTTTGTGCGGTCCGACGAGCCAACTTTAAACGTTTTTAAACGCTGAATACCATCATGGCATATGACATACCCGGGCATGTTATAATTATCCATTTGATATCCACGATACACCCGCAGTTAGCCGGTTTGGTCAAGTTGTCAAGAAAGATAATGTCTGGATATCACTCATATCCGAGGTCAGTTCCAAGTATAAAGGCAAGGAAAGTTTGCAAAGCTTTGTGATCGGCTCACCTTCAAGTTCAGGGAACCTCCAGTATGATTTTGGCTGCCGCTACTCTCCTGGGTCTTGCACTCTGTGGTGCTGCTTGCACGGGCGACCACTTACACGCTCGCGACGGCCATGCTCAGGAATATATGGAAATGCATGAGTACCCGCGGGTTCCACTCAGACCTCCACATCGTCCCCTTATTTGGGGAGACTTGAACGTAATCCACACCACCGATACGCATGGTTGGCTACTCGGGCACCAGAAGTTGTCCTGGGCGGAACCATACTACAGGTTAGTGTTCACAGCGGAGCTATCTTGAGCCACTGTCACTCAACCGTTACCTCGTGCGAATTGTAGTGGGGATCTCGGAGACTTTTCTAGCTTTGTAACTCACATGAAGCAAATCGCCATCGTTCGTCCATCAGTCTGAACTCGTGCATTCATTGCGTATAATTTCTATTGCAGGAAAAGGATGTCGATCTTCTTTTGATAGACTCAGGTGATGTACATGACGGTATGTGTAATCACTCACTGTCCGGGAAACAATTCAACTCAGATATTCCAGGAACTGGTCTTTCTGATGGTTCTCACGGTGGTGTCGACGCACACGATGTCTGTTCTGTACATGGGTGATGTATAACCAATACTGACATGTCACATGCTGTTCATAGTCAAACAAGTTCATCGAGCGCCTCCCCTACGATCTCATGACCATCGGAAAGTGGGTGCTGAATTTATAGTCCTTTCCTAATTCGCTTCCTGAATCTCCGTCTCATAGCCACGAATTGTATGTCTATGCGGATACGTATGATATGTGCGTTATTAGCATTCTGAACGAATCTTCATTTAACTGACACGACATTTGCTGATCTTTTCTTTGTCACATTTGTTTTGGTCTGATGATGTGGTGCGCCCTGCTATTTCCGCCTCGCCTTTGCTGACTTTTTGACGCCTTCCGCAATACATGGCGCGGCTTTATCGGCTCCCATCCAACTGACATGCTTATAACACTGACACCACCTGTGGTCACCATTGTTTGAAACTCGCTCGGTGGATGAATACACTGCGAACATCTTACCAAAATGCCATGAATGTTCTGCAGGTACACAAGCTTTATCCCCCATCTCGCCGGGCGATACTTGACATCTAACGTCAACATCACTATTTTCGACTCAGACGGCAAGTCTGAAAGTGTTCCAGTGGGCAGTGAGTATAATTCAAAATAGTCTTTGCCGCTGCTAATGGTTTTCCTGCAGACCGTTACGCCAAGTTCACCACAAGGAAGTAAGCGGACTTGTGGATTTCATGATTGGCTGTCATTCATTTGATACGGCAGAGGTCGTCGTATCACTTCTCTTGGAGTCATATTCAATTTCACTCAGAACGCTGCAAACACGACTGTGCAAACCGTTCAAGACATGGTCAAGGAGCAGTGGGTACGTCACTCTAGGCATTCGAGTGATGGCAACCTGGTCTTCTGATCTCTGTTTGCAGTTCGTTGAGGCCATTGCAGAAGAGCCTGACGCGTTCGTACTGATCGGGTAGGTTGAATCCATTGTTGCTGAAGGAAACATTGCATTGACATGACCGCAGACACATGCCAGTTTCTTATGATAGTTGTAGGGTAATTGTAAAGTTTATTAGGCGATAATCTAACAACTTGATCGTCTAGGGCCTACTGTCATCAACGCTGTGCGGGCCGTGCACCCTCTGACCCCCATCCTAGTATTTGGAGGTGGAGACCAACGTCTTGATTGTTTCGAATAAAATTTTCACCGCCTACTTAGGACACACCCACATTCGTGACTGTCAACAGTACGATGGTCGTTCTATGGGTATCGAAAGCGGACGTTACATGGAGACAATCGGTGCGTAAACTTCGAAGATGAGTAAGGGGTATTGTCTGACATGATCTTCTAGGCTGGATGAGTACGTTGTTGTAGCAATAATGTACCTCAGACACCTAACGCAAGAAAATCAGGCGCAGACCTCGATGCCGCCAAGGGCAACCACGACAATATCACTTTCACAAGGCGATATCTTGACCAGAACCGTGTGACCTACGAGGTAATGTACCAAGCTCTCAGTTACCTGCTACTGGCCTAATCCTGCCCGTGATTCCTAATCAGTACCACACCCATACCTCGAGAAATTCATTTGACACTAATAACGGGCGATCTATCACCTATGGCCTGCAAGAGCTTGCGGCCCGTTATGACTTGTCCTATCCGTACGGAACAGCTCCCCAAGACTATACCTTGTCCCAGTGGGTGCACACTATGTATTATCATCGCTCAAGCCACCAGCTCAACCATTGTGCACTAGGAACCCCTATCCTTCCAATGGGTCTCTTCTGTCTCTCTTCCTTGACCATGTAAGTACCAGTGAAGTGAATTGTTCAGATGTTGACGCGCTTATCAGGCTGTCCCATACGCACTCGCTATTAACAACACTCGCGATTCCATTCCAAACATAATTATCATCAATTCGTGGGCTCTACGCTTCGACCTCATGAAGGGATCGTTCACCAAGAACGATCAGCTAACAATTATGCAGTATAAGGATACATTCTTGTACATTCCCGATGTCCCATCTAGCATTGCAAACCAGGTGCTTCCCGCTTTGGATAACCCGACGGCGATGAAACAGAAACGAGATGAAATCGACAATACTCGGGACAGTGTCTGGTTGGAGATAGACGACCGTCCTGGACGAGAAGCAACTTCAGACAAATGGGCATTCGGATATGTCACGAAAGATGTAAGGGTTCCATGCCGTGTTTGTGCTATGCTCACAACACTTGCATAGTCATGCCATGACGCTGGTCATGCGGACGACACACTGCATACGGCGTTGCCCTACTACACGGCTCCATACTACATTAGCTCGAACCCCCCTAACGTGACGGCCGACACGCTTATAGATATTGTCTTCCTCAACTACCTTGGAGAGGAGATAATCCCCATCCTCAACAAGTTACAGAAAAATAAGAACTACACCATGGATGATGTTTTATCGTATAGTCCGACGCTGACTAGCGATATCCTGGGCCTGTATGCTCAGGCTAAGTGGAACTGATTGTATGGCCTGTAGTCATACTGCGCTGTAGATATAGTTAGCCTTGTTACTCGATCATTCTCATTTTAAATAAGCTAGTGTAGAGGCTCATGATGCAGGAAATGACCATGAAGATGAGGATGCTTGCATAGACTGTAGAGCGCTCTTTAGTTGTTCCCGAAATCATAGGCATAGGTACACTTTGGGTAGTACTCACTCAGCAATATCAAAAGGTTGATTCCACATCACTACAGATACATTTTTTCGTATCCTCCATTAACATGCATCTCACTCCCCAGTGCCGTGGGCACAGGGCACCGGACACGACGCGCATGATCAGCGTCCAGAGCTCGACATCTTTGTTACAGACACCCTCATCATCGATCCTAATAAGAGTGCATCCATCTCGTCATGATATTAGAAACTTGTTGGGGTCTACATAGAACAGCAGGTGGGTAGCCTTATTCACGCGACCGACATATCGGGCAGCTTCAAGATTCATGGTTGAAATGATTCTGGAACTTAGGTGAGATGTTTCTACATAGGTGAGTCAGTTCAAGTTGCCGAGAGTCCAGAAGTATGCATACCTTTGAAAATGTCCACCCTCCTGTTAAAACGACGAGGCAGCCCTGAGGATCTCAGACCCTTCAAACACCACTGCCTTTCGAGCCAGAAGACAAGATGACGACTCCAGAAAGCGTGGAATTCTACATGGCTCAACTAGGCAAGCGCTTGCCTGGATCCCCGCACTGAGATCTGACTAGTACGGGAGATTGTGGGCTGAAAAGTTGCTGAAAGGAATCACGAGTACTATGCCGACAGCTTCATGATCAGACACTTGGCTGAGATATTTCTTGGGCCTGAAGGTGACATGTTCCTATACGCGCAAACTGTAGGAATCGATGCAACCACGCACCTTCGCATGTTTCTGTCCTTCCGATAAGATAAAGAGGCATGACAAAAGCCCCTTCAAACACCATTGCCTTTCGAGCCATGAGAGGAGATGATCATTCCAAAAAAGCTTGAATAAGTGGTTCAGTTCGTCATTCCATAGATGTCGATGAAGTCGTGAGAGATGGAATGCCCAGTTTTGGCATGCGTACTTGAGAGCGTCAGAAGCTGACCGATTCCGTTCCCGTGCTGCTTTTGCGAAATCTACAAAAGTCTTCATAGCACGGATGATATCCATGTCTGGGAGACGATAACCTTGTGGGGGTAGTAACGAAGGACTGGAATGATTTTGGTGCCTTAACGCAAGGAACACCGGAAACATCAAGAAATCTGGTAAGTTTCTGAACTGCTCGATAACTTGAAAAGCCGGCAGTACAAGCATTTCCGAGGTGATCACTTGCTTGTTTATGGCTTCAAACGTAATGGAGAATTCTTCAATTGTCAGCCAGACAGATGCTGCAAGAGTCGACTTCCAAGCTTGACCATCGGGTGTCTGTAGCCAGTCCTGTCCGCTTTGGGTCTGCAGCCAGTCCCGCCCGCTTTCGGTTTGCAGCCAGCCTTGCCCGTGGTGGGTTTGCAGCCACTCTTGTCCTTTGCAGGTCTGCAGCCAGTCCCACCCGCTCTCAGTCTTCAGCCACTCCTGCCCGCTCTTGGTCTGTAGCCAGCTTTGCCCGCTCTCGGTCTGCAGCCACTCTTGCGGGCTTTCCATGTGCAGTTCGGTCTGCGGCCAGTCATACCTGCTTGTGATCTGCAACCAGTCTCGCTCTGTATGGGCCTGCAGCCAGTCTTGTCCGTCGTCGCTACGCAGCCAATCCTGCCCATCCTGAGTCTGTAGCCAATGTTGAGCATCCTGAGTCTGCAGCCAGTCCTTCCCCCCCTGGGTCTGTAGCCAGTCCTTCGCAAAAGTGTGCAACCAATCTTCCCTCTCAGTCCACAGCCACTCATGTCCTTCTTGGCCATGCCACAGCCAATCTTGTTCTAGGCGCTGCAGCCAGTTTTTCTCCAGGGGTCTGCCACCACTCCTCCACGCTCTGCCAGTCCTCCACGCTATGGTCCTGCGGCGGCCTGCCATATCTCTCAGTCTGTAGCCACTCTTGCTCACGGGTCAACGAGCAGTCTTGCTTCTGGGACTGCAGGGAGCCTGGCGCACTCCGAGTATGCAACCAGTTGTTCCCGTTCTCAGTCTGCAGCCAGCATTCGCCCCCAAAGGTGTGCAGCCAATATTCCCCCATCCAGGTCTGCAGCCACTCATTTCCCCACTGCGTCTGCAGCCAGTCCTGGCCTCCCTGGCTTCCCAACCAGTCCCCGCCCCCCTTACTCTGCAGCCAGTCCAATCCCCATTCTGTCTGCAGCCATTCTTTCCCCCCCTGAGTCCGCAGCCAGTCATCTCCTTCTAGGGCATGCAGCCAGGCAACCCCGTCCCGGCTCATTAGCCAGGATTGTAATTCTGGACGTCGATCTCCCAGAGTCCATAGCAGACCTATCAGAGCATGTAATGGCTCAGGTGGCTCGACAATGAAGGTTAACGAGCACTTTAAGTTTTTTGGGTCGTGTGGTTGCATAGCTTGGCTCTGCCTGTTTAATTCTGAGAGCGCATCCTGGAAAGCTGTGCTTGATGGAATTCCTCTGGGTTGCACCATCAAGCGGAAAGAGGAATAAGCGAGTATGGAATGGGGGTGTTTGTTATGTTGTACCTCGACGAGGTTGCAGTTTGAAGAGTCGGAAGCGTAGTCGCGAACTGACGAGTGGTAAATGTTTACCGGGAGACTGCTATCGGTAGGAATGTCAATGACAGACCGGAGCTGCGCCAGCGTTGTCTCTACATCCCTGTTCACGCCAGGACCTAGAAGTTCCAAGATTTGTCGAATCGGGAGAGGGTCCGCAAGGGCGGCAACAATAGACAAGTGCAGGTATGCCCGCGCGGGGTTGGCACACGTGGCTAGGATGAGGTTGTATAACTCGTACACCTGCTTTCCTGGTAGCAGCTCGTTCGTGAACCTGAGCATGACCTGAAGTCGATCGCGGGGATCCTGGTATCCATCATCGATGAATTTCATCATCGTAGACGCCACAATGAAACGCCTGCCCGCCCGACTCGCCAGCTGTGCAAGTTCATCTGCCGTTGGTTGTGGAAAACCAGGATGACCTTTGAGCTCTATGAAGGAATGCTTCAAGAATACGCGTATGTCATTGTCAACATCTGCCGCGTCATCTAACGGGATGATCGTAGTAACTGTGCCCTCCTCAGAGATTCCAGCTGGTATCTTGGACACCAGTGGACGCACGTCTTTTTTTTGAATGGCATTGTAGATGTGGGGTTCCGAGCGACTCGTGAGCAGGATGTGGATCACGGGTAAATCTGGTTCACGAAGTGCTACGTGAAGCAGGGAGATGAGACCCTCGAGTTCGCTTTCGGATACACATTCATCAAGGGCATCGATAACGAACGTGGAAGGCGGACACTCGCGCAGTCTGTGTTGAAGCCTCCGCAGAGGTTTCAGAAAGAGTCCCTCCATCTGGCCACGAAGAGATTTGCTGGGATCTAGAAGAGCAGGATTCTCGCGAATGGCTTTGTTCAAGTCCTCTCGCACGCTGGGAAAATTGCAGGCAAGCTGGTAGGCAAGCGTCGCAAAAAAATACCCAGTCATGGAGCGATTGGTGTATTTACGCGAGAAGAAGAACGTGCCCGCTAGCCGCGTCTCAATCTTCGTTTGCTCCGTGACTTTGAGACCTCTCATCCTTTCAGCGACAGTGAACGCAATCGCAGACTTTCCGGTGCCCGCCATGCCATGAAGCCAAATGAGTTGGCTATTTTTCTGATTGTCTAGTAATCGGTAAATGTCGTTGAGAAGGGTCACTCGGGTCTCTTCCATGCACTTTGGATGTGGCTGGCGTTCACGGGAGTCATATTCGGCACCCTTGATAGCGACTTGACACAGTCTCTCCCAAGTTCCCTCCGATGATCGGGGACCACCAGGGACTACGAATGAGGTGAGAAAGGAACCACAAACGACGGAGATACTGACATTGATCGTGATTCATTTATGAATCGTGTCACAGATTGAGATACCTGAAGGCTAAAGAAAGCACTATAGTTGGTTGGAGAGTGGGTTAGAAGACCATAGTACGGGTTTGAGAGTGAAAACATGCAAAACAGGATCAACGCCCCCAGCTCAAATTGTCAATTGTAATCGTAGCCTAAGCCTGGGTAAATGAAATCGTGAGTTTTCTCCCGAACCAATGGGATGACTTGAAGGACGAGCGAGCGCTCGTCTGTTTTTGCCATTCACATCCGATTCCCAAGTCATTGCTATCACATTGTTATATAGTACTTAATGCTTGCAGCCGTGATAGACTGAAGCTGCGCCGTTGCAGTGCGGTCACTGGCGCTGCACACAATAATTGAGTTTGTCACGGTGGGCGGAACAAAGTTACTACAAGGTTGATAGATAAAATTAAGTTGGTTTTATTGCCTCATTTTACCACAGGCGTGTAAAACGCCAAAGCACGTGACCCCGCTGACACATCAGCAACGCGACGCGTAGTACTTACCAGTACTATAACGCGCAGATCTGCAGCTCCCGTTCCGTTCGTCTTCGCATTACAGGATGCACCGCGCCTGTACCTGCACTTGAGGACCACTCGCAAGCACAGAAACCACTCACCCACTTCGTGACATTAATATTGTAGCACTGTATTTTAATTATAAAATCTTAGCGAAGGTATCAAGTTGCACATTATTATTAATCAGTGGAAACGATGCATTTCTGCTGCAATCAGCTGGGCAGCGAAATGATCAGGAGTGCAAGACTTGCTTGTCACTTGAGATGGACTAGAAGAATATTTCAATCGGTTCCAGGTGGTTGGCGGCGGCGTGGTGCAAGCGCTCTGTGCGATTCAGACTGTTTTTCCTACGTGTCTATCTAGATGTGTGCCTGACATTGGGTACTATACTGTCAAGATGCACAGCAGGTCCACTCAGCACTGGCACTGAATGTCAATCTCGCTCCGCTTCCAAGGAATCCATAACTTAGTGAAAGCCTGAAGGCAATCCAGAGCTCTGACGGAAGTTAGAGGCTAACTGTTGAAAGTTTCGATTACAATTACTGGCAGAGATAGCTGAACAGAATCGTGACAGAAAGAAGCTTGAAGTCGACCTTCGGTTTCATCGTGCCAGGAACAAGTTCAAGTTACACGGCCAAGTTGAAATAATGTTTAAATATCACGTGATCACGGTCACAAAAAATTAGATTCGCTGCTCATCATCACAAACGATGAGCAACCTCATCTCCTGTGTATCATGGTAACTAATCCCCGTCCTGCACACTCCGCATATCTAACCAAAATTCCAGGGTAAAACGCGGCGTTTCAGCCCATCAGCCCTCCAAATACGTCCTCGATGAGAAGGAACTCGAGCGCGTCAGTGCACTCGCACGTATCGAGCTTGAGGATGCGCGGATAGAGATCGAGCGCGCGCATAATGCTGCTAAGAGTATGGGCAAGGGCGCTGAAGGTGCTGAAGCGGATGATGCGGATGAAGACGATGATGAGAATGCATGGGTCGAGTGCGTGATTTTGTTTTTACTCCTTGTGATGTTTGCTGATGGTATTGTAAAGCGAGGAGGATGCGTCGATGGAGGTGGACGGGAATGTACAGGTTGATGCACCTGCAAAGGGGGATGATCTTGCGCAGTATAAGTTGGATGAATATGACGAGGACGATGTCAAAGAAGATGGTATATATGTGGACACCGCTTACTCATTGATGCTAATGTTTCGCAGGGATGGGTCCGTTCAGCAATATTAAAGGACTTACATTTTATAGAGATAACCAGGACGATCCATACATCACACTCAAAGAAGTGCGGTTACTTTGCCTCTCTTTTACTTGCATCTAACACTATGCAGGATGCTGAAGATGACGAGCGTTCAGAACTCGAGATCCTCCCAACAGATAACCTCCTAGTCACCGCAAAAACAGAAGATGATATCTCACAACTCGAGATCTACGTCTACGACGAATCCCAAGACAACCTCTACGTCCACCACGACCTCATGCTTCCCAACTTTCCCCTCTGCCTCGAATGGCTAGACTTCCCACCTGCATCCTCAGAAATGCAAACCGATACCCCACCAAAATTCGGAAACTACATCGCAGTCGGTACGCTCGATCCTGAAATCGAAATATGGTCATTAGACGTCATGGAAAGCATGTACCCCGACATGATCCTCGGCAGACCTGATAAAACAGCCGCACACGTACCCGTCCCAGCGGGCACAGGTAAAAAGAAGCGCAAAAAGACAAAACACCGTCCTTCATCGGACACATACCACGTTGACGCTGTCCTCGGGCTCTCATGGAACCGCACCCATCGACACATGCTAGCGAGCGCATCTGCGGATCGTACAGTGAAGCTATGGGATTTGTCTCGTCCGATCGTGGATGGGGAGGGTGCGATAAGGAGCTTTGGGGTGCACAAGGATAAGGTGCAAGCTGTGCAATGGAACGAGAAAGAACCGACGGTGCTTTTGTCTGGAAGTTATGATAGGACGGTTCGAGTGTTTGATTCTAGGGCGCCGGATACGGGTGTTGGGGCTGTGCTTGGTGCTGATGTCGAGGCTTTGCGATGGGATCCTTGGGAAACGCATGCGTTCTATGTGAGTGTTGATCTTGATTCATTGTCAGATGTTTTGATCACTGTTTTAGGTCTCGTTGGAAAATGGTCTCGTACTCAACTTTGATGCTCGGGCGCTCCCAACGGATATGAAATCTCCTTCGCCTGCACGGTTTACGCTCTCTGCTCATGATGGTGCCGTATCGGCTCTTGACGTCAGCCCATTGCTGCGGGGTTGTATATGCACGGGAGGAACGGACAAACTAGTCAAAGTGTGGAACGTAGACCAGACCGCTGGAGGCAAGCCTGCTGTGAGCATGGTTGCGTCGAGAGATATGGAAGTGGTCAGTACTCTGTTTATTCTGTCATCGCAATCAACACCATGTACTGATTCGTTATTATAGGGCAAAGTCTTTTCAGCGGTGTTTTCGCCAGATGATCCCCTTACGATCGCTGCAGCGGGCTCTAAAGCAAAACTACAGATATGGGATGTTGGCGCCAATTCTGGTGCACGGAGAGCATTCGCTTCGAAGCTCAGCGAAGCCGGGCGCGTTCTGAAGGAAAAAGAAGGCGGAGGGTTGGTAGGCCTTGTCAACGATGACGAAACGAGCGAAGACGAGGGGGACGAGGATGACTGAGCTTTGATATACTAGTCCATACTAAAAAAGACAAAAATCTACTCAGACGTAATATGATAGATGCACAGGCACTATTCTACATGAAATCATCTTGATTAGTACCGAAATCATCCAGCGCTTCATCATACACTCCTGTATCAAATCTAAAACCAATCAGCGATCGTAACGGCTGATCAAGACAACACACTCACTTATTCGCGACTTTCGCCGAGCCTAGGACGGGCTTCGTGGCAGCTTTAACTTTCTTCTTCCCGCTCGTCTTGTCTCTCTGCTCTTTCTGCTTCTCATTAGCAAGTGTCGTAAGTCCACTTGCAGCCTTCCTGATCTCCACGTCCTTCAAAGGCTGACAGAGCTCTCGGACGTGATGCTCCACGAACGACGCGTACAGAGGCTTGGCCTGATGTTGCTTAACGATGAACTCGATTATTCTTGTTGAGAAATCCTGGAAGTCCTCCTTTGTGCGGGGATTGGCGGAGATCAGTGCGTCTAGCTCGGATGATGAAGTGCCTGGAAACACAAGCGCAGAGGGATCAGCTCAAAACGCCCGAACCCAAAACCCAAATTCAATTCTGAGCCTAAAACCCACCTCCAAGGCCAGCAGCGCCCAAAAGCGCAGCAGCATTATCCAAATCAGCTTTAATCTCGCGCTCCCTATCCAACCTCGCCTTCTCGCGCGGATCAAGGACAGAGTCTTCATCATACTCCACATCATCATCGCCCGCTCGCGCAGCTTTCGCAGCTTCTTTCTCTGCTATCTTTTGTTTCACTGTACCCTTCTTTTTGGGGGGTGCTACGGGTGCTGCTGCTGGTTTATCGTCGTCTGAGGATTCGTCTGAGGATGCGTCCCAGTCGCTCTAGTAAGATCGGTGAGATGAATATGGGAGGAGATGGTAGCGACATACGGCTGGAGATGATTCTTCTTCGTCTTCACCCTCCCATTTCTTTACGGGTTTGTTGGTCACGATCGATCGCGAAGCAGGAGCAGGAGTATCATCGGATTCTGTGCTTGATCGTGGTGAGCGTCGTAGGAGATATGATTGAACGGATTATTGTCTTTACCCCAGTCTGACATGGTTATGTGGTGTCGATTGTCCCTTGCGGGTAGCGCTATGGTACAAGTGTGTCGTGGTCTAAGATACAGCAAGTACCCGTTATTGCAAGATCAAAATGTAGGTCACGTGGCTAAAATTTAAATGACTATACGTATTACCTTATAGATGTTTAATCAAAGACTTTACAGCTCAGATCTCAGATCTCAGACCTATACCAGAGCTGGCGCTGTGAGGCAACCGCTGGTGTATGGAAAGTCGTCCATCGACAACGATATTTTAGAATTGACCAGACCTCAGGCACCACAATACCCACTACTGCTGGCTAGCAGGAATGTCACATGTGGGAGTTAAACTTGTTGCGTAGGAATGGAGGAAAGGTATTTAACGTAACTTTTTTCCGACAGGTTCAACCATACACACCATGAGTCTATTGAAAATCCCCTTCCTCGTGGCTTCGGCCATTGGCATGCATATCTCGTTGACTTCTCCCTCTCTGCCCCCGTCCTCTCCAGAGAAAGTGGTATCCTCAGCATCCGAATCATTAATTAGCCTGTTTCTAGATCTTCGAGGTCCAGAGTTATTCAAGGTGTGTTTCTCCTTGTATATCGATTTTTGTCTGTATGGATCGGTAGACAATATCACAGATTGGCGCATGGGCAGCATCATCTGTTGAAGTGGCCAACATACTGGCCATGCATATTCTAGGTCCTTCGCAGATTCCAGAGTGCATCTATGGCGCTAGCGCTGTGCAGCTTTTGCACACGCTTCACCCCACTCCAATCACTCTCGTTTTCCTTGCTGGCAGTCTTTCTGTCGCGGTTGGCGGCATACTCAGGCTTTATTGCATGTCGACCTTAGGAAAGTTCTGGAGCTTCTCGCTCAGTGTCGGAAAAGAGCACAGAATCGTAACAAGTGGGCCGTATTCTATTGTCCGCCACCAAGCTACACCGGTTTCCTTCTCCAATACGTCGGGATTGTCATCACGCACGGGAGCCAAAGGTCGTGGATGAGGCAGTCTGGAATTTTAGAAGTGCCTTATATGAAAGTATTAGCAGCAATTGTCTTCTTCCTGCTTACAACAGGCGCTTTGGGTGCCATCAACCGACCTTCAGTGGAGGACAAGATGATGCAGCGTGCTCTGGGAGAGGATTGGGAGAATTGGGCTAAGAAAGTGAAATATAGATTGCTTCCTGGGGTTTATTGATGATATATGTCCTGAGCGCTCCGCTCTGACTGTAATTATTGGTTTGGTGGACTGGCGTTTCACGATGTCGATTGTATGCTATATGACACACAGTGAAACCTGTAAACTACAGAGGAATGTTCTGCTTTTCTATGACAGTTACTTCTTTTATCTATGGACGCGTCAACGCTGATGACTCGATTGGTTTTCAGTACCACTGCCAACTGCATAATATTCCATTATAGTGATATCGTGATGCCGATTTAATGTCACACTTGGACTTCTATTATCATCGTCAACGATTCGTCCTCACTAATACCAAGTTCCATTATCGACGTGGCCGTCAGAATAACCTCTAAGTATGGCTCCATCTCGTACTGCAGCAGCAGCGCCGTCTAGAGGCAAATATGACTACTCAGAAGAAACACTTACAGCCGTGGGACGTTGAATGAGGCGAGAAGATGAATCAAGGACTGATTGCTGAGGATGGCTCTTGCATGCCCATTCTCCCAAGCAATCACAGGGATAATTGTCATCACACAAGGAAAAGGACCAGTAGTTGGTGTAAGTGTGGCCGGACAGCTAGTGCCAGTAGAGACATCGAGGATATCGGTATAAACATTATCACAACGCATAGCAAATTGCGACGAAAACCTAATCCAGACCTATATATCCTTGAAATCTACTTCAAACCACCAAATAACTTAGATCAATACCATCACGAAAGTAGGAATAAATAAAAGCAAATTCCCCTGTTCCTTGCAGAGCACTAGACAACTTCACTGAGTATTACACGCTATTGCCAGTCGATATATGCACACGCTCTTGGAAAGCGATTGAGGTCATGCTGGTTTCTGCGTCGGAATCGGCCACGAGCTTAGCGTGATATTCTCGAACGCTAAGGATCAAGCGGGGTCCTAGCACAAACATCTGCACGATCTCCAAATTTTGAACCAAGCCATAACAAATAATTGCTAGGGAAGATGGTTCCTGTAGAAATGATGACCCGTGGTCGTATGCAGAGGTAAGCGTAAGATTGACATACCGTTGGGATTGTTGGAAAGAAATCAATAACGAGGGTGAAGCAAGAAACGGCAACAAAGCTACCACATCCAACCCTTCAGTGGAGAAAGGAAATAATAATCACAATGAGCTCACCTCGCAAAGTAAAGCATGTGAGTTTGAATCAACACCGCGAAGCAGTCCCCGATAATCCCTCCTGCCGAATGTCGTCGCAGTTCACGGAAGTGTTTGACAGCAATCCAGATTGCGAGACATAATATGATGACCTCCCACACTGGTGCCTGAGTATCCAAGTAATGGAACTCAGAAGTATGGTACATCTTCCGCAAAGCTATCGAGCACTGATAGGTGCCGGAGAGAATGAGTTCCTCTGGTATTTAGCAATGAGTCACATACACATTTGTTTTCATCCACAATTAAGCGTACCCCCTGAAGTATGCATCGTTGATAGTACAGCTGCCACTCCATTGAAGATGTTGTCAGCCAGGAATGTGACAATGAGAAATATCAGGATCTTTCTGGATCGTTGATACATGGCATGCAACCGAGTGATGATGATGACTTGCAAGATATTTAAGTCAAGTCAATATCACTGAGTTTTAGCAGGTGCGAAGCTCACCCCACAGCATTGCAAATACCACAACACGCATCCAATTCCATACGACATACAAAATAAAGCCTGACGAATCTGGTTAATGACCAGCCTCGGGTAGCACACTCCAAACAGACTCACATCTGTGACAGTATAGTATGGCAGTCATTAATGAACTAAAGTTGGTAAAAAAGCATACTCACTCCTACAGGGCACCACGGTTAATTGGAGGGGAATAGTAGGCATCTGTGCAGAAGACTCACTGTATCTGTCAGCGAGATGATCGGAACACTGCCTATATGCCGTCGGTCAGAAGAAGCAAAGACAGCGAATTATGAACTAAGGAGACATACCCAACATGACCAGGCTGATTGTGAGAGATAGACGATTAGTACAACACTTATTGTTTAACCTTCCAAACATACGCGACAAATATGATTCCAAGGTAGCGCACCTAGGATGCTTTCAAGTCAACACAGCATGACAACCGCGACAAACGAGTTACATACACCGAGATACAGAACTGTCATTAGGGACCAGCGTTGCCTCTAGGATTAAGTGTATTTTCATGCGTGTTCTTCTAACATGAGACTCTGCTCACCCAGACCAATTCTACCTATAAAACCATTCTTAGCAGGATGCTACTCCGGTCACAGCATCAACATACCTCTTGTCCCAATGTAAGTGCTGAAAATACTTGTAAGATATCAGCAGTCCTTTGATATTATCATACTTACCCCAATCATACATTAATCCAACAGAGGCGGCAACTAGGAACCACAGTCAAGGTTAGGTGGAGACATCAGCTTCAACATCCGGCTGCTCTCTACGAACCTATAAAATAGCTGGAAACACGATATGCATTGACGGTCGACCACCAAGTGGGATCATTCGAGACTATGGGCATATTGGTATAGAATGGGGGTGTGGGTGAGTAGTGAACTTGGTAGACGTATGGCGATAGCATATATACTACCACCATGCGGTGCTTGGATCACCAAAATGAGATCGAGGGATGATGTCCGTTCCTGCCTTGACTGACCAAAGGTAAAGTCAAGCCAGGGGCTCAACGCAAATGTTGGTCGTGAAACATTTGCACCGGCGGAACACTTGAATAGCGTAAAATATGGAAGGCGAATTGTGTCGACAGGTCAAGGCCAGACCAAAAATTCACTGTCAAAAATAGGGGAATCTACAAGAAGCAAACAGAACACTCACGTTCTACCGGTGTGTGAGTTCCCTGCTCCTCGTCCTCGGACTAAGTCGGTGCGGTGCCGACAGGGAATCAATTTTCACAACAAGAGACGTCCTAGTTAAGAATCACTGATTGATATATAGTGAAAATGCAATGCCATTATTAGATCCAGAGAGAGGACACGGAGAAAAGAAGACTCAGCCTCAGCAGCGTCCGTATGGACCTAGAATTTTCAATTGTATAAGAAGGACCGGATGTAGTAACATTCTATTGGCACGTCATCAGAAAAGATCGAGCTGAGAGAGTGGCTCACCTGTACCATATGGCTGCCAATGTGCACCACTCGAATCTTATTCAAATGAAAACCTATGCAAAACTTGGCCTAACAATGACCTAGCGGTGATGCGAGCCTTTGAAAAAGCTTGTTGTCTCGATGATTGTCGATAAGCATTGGCAGTCTCCGAGGATAACAGGACCTCCGAGGAGAACTTATATCGAGATGACAGAAACATTGGATATGTAAAACAAGGGTGAAGCAAACAGATCACTCACCTGTATAACCCTTTCAATGAATAACCCGCGTCCTAAGCATATGCACGCCTTCTCGTCCCCCACCTTGGTTATCGGCCTATCATATCATAAGGATGCCAATAAATGGTAAGTGCATAATCGCGTGCGTTTGATCGGATGTGGATGCATCAATCATCAGCGGTTGGCACAACCTGATTCATATACCATGATCGATGTTCAGTGAATATAACACTATCCCTTGACTACAAACAGAAATGAGAGAGACAAAGACACGGGCGTCGCCCATACAACCACAAACTTCAGATATAAATCACATCCGCGAGTCTAAGATCCCCTGAAGTTCTGCCAGCGACACTAGCACTGTGACGTGGCGCCTACATCGTTCTCCAAATTTGGGCTGATGTATACGAGCTGAAGCTCCATACCACAAGACCCGTCGGTGCGAGGAAGCCGCTGCAAAAAACCATGTGACTATCACAGTACTTGATCGAGATTCATTGTAGGTCCTGAATCAATTCTTATTGGTATAACCTCAACAGCTCATGATGCAGGCGAAACAAATGGTAAGTGAATCGACTTCGAGGACAAACTACATATCAATGATACGATCCATTCTATCACCGATCGTACAGCCAGTAGAAACTATGTAGAAACCGCGCATATGATATGAGACGACGACGAGAACGGACTTTTTTTTCTTGATTAGGAAAATCGTCACGCTGTCTCCTATTTACAGTGCTTTCCTCACTACCATGGCGACTTCTGCTTCGAAGATTTCACGGCGTTGGAGGCTGTTGGTCTTCAAAATATCAGATTGACAAAAGAATTTTTGGCAATACGATGGATTCATCGCTAAGTACTCACTAACCAGTCAATGGGTTTCAAACGCTTGCCGTTCATTAATCGTTGGTGGCCAGGCTAGTAAACCCTCTACCCCCATTTCAAGTGAGTATCGCTTGTATCGCATGTGGGATAATTCACAATCAATGCCAGTCACTCACGTCAGATCACATCTTGGTTCATAGATTCTTGCTTTCAGGAATTTGAACGACACCAGTGGGCACCGAGCACTGCTTAGCATCAGTCGCCAGTGCCCCACCAATATGTTATTCTTCTTTTCGCAGATGAGTTTCCTGGGTCTCCCGGCGGACATCTTTCTGTCAAATTTCAGCTTTCTATCTCCGTCAGGGAGGCCCAATAGGGAGCCAATGATGTTCAGAGACATTTGAGGCGTTTGATTCTTTTAACCCACAGATCAGGTATAGGTTCATAGCCTCAATCGCGAAGCACATCAAGAAGCATCGTTACTGTAATCCACCCTGATCATCTTTGCGCAGTCATGACTGACGCGTCTGAATGAGGGGTTACAATTTGTTATAACATGTACGCGGAAGATCAGGTGTCTGAAGCTATGCACGGGTAAGTGTAATATAAAGGTACTAGTGCTCGAGTGTCGCTGTGGGTAGTAATCCCAGGTAACACACTGCTCGTATATCTCTGCTCACCGTAAGTCTGGACAGCTCGAAATTCTTGTGGGAGTCTTATCTTTATTTGACGCTTTCAACAGGATCGGTCATCATGCACTGGCGGCTCCCAGTCACGCGAGGAGAAACCATCACTTGTTATGACGACTTGGGCAAGCCAAAAACGCACGGTCTAGAACAGAGATATGTCAGCCCGACCACTGGAATCTGTCGAAAACTTGTTGTGCAAGCCGTCACTCCCATCGGCAAACGTGAAGTTGCCATCAGGGACCACACCAGCCAGGCAAGCAAAATCGCCTATCGGCTAACCAATCCCCCCATTCGATGGTGGATCATTTTTGAATACATAGCCTTATGGGTGTGGTTTACGTTGAAGCTCTTATGGTCATTCGTCCGGCTACTCATACAGCTTTTCTATCCCCACAACTTAGGGGATGACACTGGGGAGGATACAGACTTGTATAACACTGGATACTACAAACCGTACAGTCGCCAGTTCAGTGGTCAGCTATGGGCAGCTCGTTCGCCTAAGGAGCATTCTTCGCGCGCTATCGACGAGGGCGAGATGGATATCCGTACACATACCCTTTATCCTCGACTTCTTATCATCCGCGACCCAATCCGAAATGAATGGGTCCCATGTGCGGATCGCGATATTATCATCCATACCAAATTCATCGCCATCTCTTTCTACTCCGGTGATGCCTACACTAAAGGCTCAGATCAGAAGAAACAAAAGGCTCAGTTCATAGGAGGTTCGTGTAGCAGTGCTCGGACAGAAATACAATGCGTATTGGCTCGACTTGGAGTGTGTAGGAGAGACGCCGTCAGAGAAGAATCGGGATTTGTACTGCATGGCGGATGTCTACCGTGGAGCAGAGATGACCTTGATCATGCTCGGCAAATATGCGACTGGGGAGAACAAGTGCTGGAGAGGCTGGGGCGAACGGATGTGGACTATGCCCGAAGCCCTCCTGAGCCGTCACCTTTGCTACAAGTTCCGAGATCGGGAAGCGGTTACACCGTTGTCGTTGCTTCAACTGGCCAACCTGGCCTACACAAGCTACGATGTTGAACAGGCTATCATCAACGCATACAGCGGGAAGGATCCGCTCGAGAGGTTGGAGCGCTTGACGCTGTTGAAATCAGCTATATGGCGGCGCGGTGCGGCCAATCTATCACCAGGCGTTTCTAGTCCCCCGCCAAGGCTTGAGAGGATGGGCGAGACGCCTGTCACGGATGAGGCGTACAAGGCTCAGCGTGTGTATGCGCTGATGGGCTTTTTTGAGCACCGGATTCACCCAAACCGCTTGGAGGACAATTTGCACGCTCTTGTGAGGCTGTCAATGGCCAACGACAACGACCGTATCGTTGAGCGGATGGTATCCATGCTACCTTCGACCATCACCAACGAGGCGTGTTGGTACTCTGACAATGATATCTACGACGCCAAACTTTGGGATATTCTACCGGAGATCCAGGTCGCCGGTATCACAGAGAATGGAGCTCTTGTGGTTGACGGGTGTCGGGCGGCAGCAATCAGATGGAAAGATTTCCCGGATGTTGCGCATATGACCCCATATTCATTGAGGAGGAAGATTATCGGTTTCATTCCGTATCTCTCGTGGCCAACTATTTTCATTGGGATTAGTATATATACGATCCACCACGTGGAAGGCATCGCACTCATCGTAATTGGAGTCGTGCTCCTCATAATTTCCCCTCGGCTGTTCGTTTTCAGTCAATCTGGACGTATCGTCGAGGCACAACCATGGTTCATCGGAGTGAAAGGGGTCATCAGCATTGGGGAGGCAGAGAGGCACTTGTACGGTGCTGCTAGTGGACACTTCCCAAGAATGTATTTCACGCCGAGCGGCTCACAGTTCTCAGTTCCAGAACAAGGCACACAACGGGGAGGGTCGCCCACACAATACGGCAATGCCAAACAAGCGGATAGCGGACCAGACGCGGGACACATCTATACGCTCATCGACACATGTTCGTCGACGATGTACTATTTCCGTGCGGAGCGACCGCCAACGGTGTGTATATTCGCTGGACGGGAGGGAGGGCTTGGGAGGTTTGTGCTGTGTTCGGAGAGGTGTAATATTAATGAGCTGCATAAGGAGAGCGTGTTGAGGATGCCGATGGAGATCAGTGACAGTATGGAGTTGTGTGGATGGATCGCACTTGGATGAGATTGTTTTGCTACGACCTTTCAGTGCTATCCTTGTTGAACATGCAGTATGTAGTAGTACCACTTTACCAGTAGATGTACCAAATTTTGTTGAGCGTTTCACGGTCACGTGATTTTCGGGTTCCGTCGTTTATACTATTGAATTTATACAGTTTGATCACATTCTCCCCGCTTTTTAATGACATGAAACAAAACCACTCGACTCATGCACGTGTGCGCGAAGACGCTCGCAGTCATCTCAATTTGCCAAACCTTTACTAAGTGCGGTCACTTTGGAGTGGCCATATTATAATTACACCTCTCGACATTTTCGTCACAATTTGCATTGTCGAAGTCGTCCATTTTTATGCTCACGAGACGAAGCCAAGTTTCTGAGGGTTTTGATCTACAATGGGCGTGAAATGCCAAGAAAAGAATAAGATGTCAAGCCGCTCCCAGGAAATACGCTCCTAGCAGAATGTCCCAAAGCAACCTCAAGTTCCCCAACAACATGACACGCTTTCTTTCTTTTGTCCGGGACGTACTGAGCGTACTCTACTATAGATGCATGACTGTATCTAAGTCCTCGATGTCAGGATCGCGTTCAAGGAAGGTTTGACAGTTCATCAATCCCTGCGAAACTCATCCTAAAGATTCAAATTTATCCTCTGGGAGTTTTATCGCGTAGGAATGGAAGAGTCAAATTTCAGGTATTTAAAGAAACTCACCGCAAGTCCAGTGTTACAGTATGAGTCTATTGAAGATCCCCTTCCTCGTGGCTTCAGCCATTGGCATGCATATCTCGTTGACTTCTCCCTCTCCGCTCCCGTCATCCCAAGAGAAGGTAGCGCGCTCGACATCCGAATCATTAATCAGCCTAGTTCTAGAACTTCGGCTTGAAAACTCGTTGAAGGTGTGTTTCTCCGAGTCCTGTGTATCAATTTTTGTCTGTGGCATGCACATCTCGATGACTTCTCGCTCTCTGCCACCGTCATCTCAAGAGAAGGTGGTGCCATCAGTGTCCGAATCATTCATTACCCTGTTTCTACGTCTTCAGGGTCCTGATTCATTCAAGGTGTGTCTCTCCCGTATATCGATTTTTATCTGTATGGATCGGTGGATAATGTAACAGATTAGCGCATGGGCAGCATCACTTGTTGAAGTGGCCAACACACTGGCCATGCATGTAGATCCCTCGCAGGACGTCTATGGCGCTAGCGCTGTGCAGCTTTTGCACGCACTTCACTCCACGCCAATCACTCCCGTTTTCCTTGCTGGCAGTCTTTCTCTCACGGTTGGCGGCGTGCTCAGGCTTTGTTGCATATCGACCTTAGGAAAGTTCTGGAGTTTCCCGCTCAGTGTGAGAAAAGAGCACAGAATCGTAACAAGCGGTCCGTACTCTATCGTCCGAGTCCGTCACCCAAGCTACACTGGTTTCCTTCTCCAATATGTCGGGATTGTCATCATGCATGGAAGCCAGGGGTCGTGGATGAGGCAGTCTGGAATTCTACAAGTGCCTAACATGAAAGTATTAGCAGCGATTGTCTTCTTCATGTTTACGACAGGCATTTTGACTTCCATCAACCGGTCTTCAGTGGAGGACAAGATGCTGCAGCGTGCTCTAGGAGAGGATTGGCAGAGTTGGGCTAAGAAGGTGAAATATAGATTGCTTCCTGGGGTTTACTGATGGGCACAGATACTTACATGGGAAGGTTTGGGTACCTAACTTGAGCTCTATACAGCGAGGATCAGGACAAGGATACTCTGCGACAAGAACATCTCCAATGCGAAGGACGGTTGAGGTGTTCAAAGCGAGCTGAGTCAACAACGTTTGCTAATAACTACATAAGACATACAACACTATGTAAGTATGGTGGTCGTAGAACCAAATTATTCCTCCAAATCAGACGTACATGCTGAGCTACAATGAGATCCAGAATCGATCGGAACTGGTGCATCCAAATCTTCAGAAGAACTTCGCACCAGGGCCCTACTTCGTTAGGGTTAAACCTACACCCTTTGTTATGTACCTATCATGGTGCCTCCGTCCTGAAGCGTATTACAGAGGGAGCCAATTTGCATATCAATCCCCTTCAGCTCTTTTTCGCCCAGCTCTTTCTCATCTTCAACGATGGACTTTATCAGATCGCGTTCATGGGAGTTTAGACGTCGATATCACATTCTTTCCGCGATAGCTCTGCGAGTGATACGAGAAAGTTCGAGCATCCGCCGATCTAGATACTGTGTAGCCTTAGATGAAGGTCCTGAAGTGCAGTTCCACTGAAGAAAATTTTTAAGAAATGGACGAAAGAAGTTAGTATTTGAATGAACACACTGTTGTTTGTAAGATCTTGTGCCTCTTTGTGGGTAAGTCGCAATTCTCATCACGGGCCCCACCCTGAAATAAGGCATATTGGATAGGGCGCTTGTGGCGGTCATCATTGACACCGAGGCTTTTCATCGGGACCTGGATGGTGCTGCCCCCACCAACTTGAGGGGTGGGATCACTAATAATAGTCTCTGGGTGTAACGAAATGGGAGAGCTATCCTTGGGAGGAAAGCTACTAGGCACAATAGATGTAGGTGGGGATGTCGACCTGCAAAATATGTCTTGCTGTGTCTGGGATTCAATCAACGAACCTAGGCTTGTCACAGTTAAAGGAGCTATTAGTGCACAAATAACCACTGCTCCTCGATTCTGAAGAGCTAACCATTACGAGCACGCGCTAGCAGATACTACTGGGAAAGTGAGGAGAGGTCGAACGTTGAATTCCGTCGCAGGTCGGCAACACTATTATATACTGGGAGGGCATCTTCAAGTTGGACTTCTGAGTTGACTTACCTCATTCGTCCCAGTCATTTTTGCCAAAGAAATATATCATCAAACACACGCACAAACAAACCAGAATGACTTGGCTCGCACAAAGCCTAGGGCCGATGTGCATTTTTATGGGTCATAGAAGAAGGCAAGATGTCGTCCTTGAGTGAAGCGCTAAGCGCTTAGCAAGTGAGGTCGAGAAGCAATATCTATGCAAGTTCGCACGATGGTGTGTTCGTAAGGCGTCAAAGAGGTCTGTGTCATGAACAACGTTTTTCAGTTTCCTTTTTGGTATTCCTTACTAGTTAGTACACCGCACTTCTCCTTTTTCCTTTCTTTAGTCTTGCGCTCGTCTGTTTTGATAGGTATAGCTTCAATGTTGTACCTACCGGTCTTGCTAACGTCGTCTGTTTTGATAGTCCGTTGTGGTTGTCGCTCCGCGTCTCGCCTCGGCCTTTCTCGTCCTGATAGTAGCGCAAGACTGACTTACCGACCCGAGACCATTTCCTAACGCTTTCAACCGCTTATTCTCATCACGTTTAAATCAAACACTCGAGCACCTTCTCCTGTATCGGAGACCTCTAACCCTTCTACACATTCAACCAACTCTCTTCCCGAAATTTCTCAACCTCGACTTCCAATCACCACTGATCAGTAAATTCACACATTCCTTAATGTCCTTAATCAGCTTATCTCACTTATTTCAAAACTTGTTTTCTCTCTCTCACATCATTCACCTGGCATATCTTGTATTTTTTTAATGTGAAACATAATAAAACATGTCCATTAATACATCTCAACATTTTTTTTCTTAATACATTCAAGTTGAAATTTCGGACAAGTAGATCCACTTTCAACAAGGTGGTTAAGTGTGAATAAGTCTGTTTAAGGGCAAAATAAGGAATGTGTGAATTTCCTGATGCACCCAACCGCTAGTTCGAACCCCTAAACCATCACCGTCACATTCCAATATGTCCAGCACAGGCTCTAAGTCTGAAAAGACACTCTTGTCTCGCCCTGATGATTTCAGTGGTGCCAAGGGTTCTGTTGCCTTCAAAACGTGGTGGCGACAGGTCCGTGTAATGTTCGAAGCTGAACTGAAAATATTCTCGGACGACAAAAAGAAGGTGTTGTTTGCTACGTCGTGTATGAAAGGAGGGAGTGCTGGCCTTTGGGCTGATAATTATACTGAAGAGCAGTTCTCTCTACCTGATACCCAGCGTTGGAGATTCACAGACTTCGAGGTGACTTTGAAAGCTTCGTTTGATGATGCCAATGCCAAACGAGAGGCACAGCGTCAACTCGAGCTCTTGAAGCAAGGTAGTTCGACTGCCGAAGAGTTTTTTGTGCAGTTCGACCAACTTGCACGAACGGCAGGATGGGCTGCGGGGAGTGATGATCATTTGAATCTACTCCTCAAACGAGCTTTGAATACTCATCTCGTGGATCGCATCTGGGAGAGTTCAGATACTATCAAGGCTGGGACTTTTGTAGCCTGGAAAGCGAAGGCGATCGAACAAGATCAACTTTATCGCCAATGTGAGGCTCGTCATCAACGTTCCCATTTGCCCACTCCACCTCCACCTCGAACTGGCTCCAGCCAGAACCCCCATTCCACTTCTACTCCTCAGCAAACTTCTTCTGCAGCTTCTGCAACAGGCACCTTTGGTGGCCAAGGACTTCCCATGGATGTTGATGCTTGCCGTCGTCAGGGGTTATGCTTCAAGTGTGGCTGACACAGCCACCTCGCGAAGGACTGTCTTCAAGGGAAATCGGCTGCGATACGAGCTGTCCTTGAAGAAATGCCTGACGAAGACAAGGAGGAGATGAAGAGGTGGTTGGGAGAGAAGGGTTTTTAAAAAGGTTGGGAGGTAGTGCGTCCTCTCCGACCCACGGTTCGAGTTCTATTTCATCATCAACCTTATCCTGTAATTCTCGGTACTCAAACATGAAACCTACTGTTGAGGAAGTTGACGACATAGACTCGATCCGAGCGCATGATGAACTGACAGACAGAAGTGAAACTCCTATCCCGAAGTTTTTGTCTAAGGGAAAAGGCACTCATCTGGAGCACGGAAGTGGTAGATCTGAGGGTGAAGCTGCTGCGAGTAGCCCGAGGGGACCCCGTGAAGCTGAAAACCCTGCAGCAAGACCAGAACCATGGTCAGCCTCATGGTTTGCACACCGGTTTCGAGATCAGCCTTACAAAAGAGCTATTGGACTACTTCAAACAGCTGTTCATTCCAAACGACACCTTGAAGCTACGCGAGAGGTGCTCGAACAGTTGAATGCCCTATCTCTTGATGAGGCGACAGAAACGATATCTGAACTTCGCGGTCCTAAACGTTACATTAGAGGCTCGCAAGGAGGGAACTCACTTTTGATGTCTGCTGCTTTGACCACGATTGATGACTGACGTACTTTTGGTACTCGGGCGCTCATTGACAGCGGTTGCACAGGATCTACGATTGATGCCGGATTTGTTGCAGCCAAGGGTATTAACATGCACAAACTAGCCCGTCCAATTCCTGTTTACAATGCCAATGGTACTCTTAATGCTGGAGGAGCGATTTCGCACTATGTAGTTCTCCAGTTAAACATACATGAGCACACTGAATGTCTTGTTCTCGGAGTTGCTAATCTCAGCAAGGGAGAGCTATTCATTGGCCACGAGTGGCTAAAATACCATAATCCTTCCATTGACTGGACGGCTGGAACTCTCGTTTTTGGCCGTTGCCCCAAGACGTGTGCTTATACACATGAGCTATATGAACTGGAGGCTACGGAAGAGGACGAGCAGCAAAACTGCATGAGTAATGACCCAGAGGTTAAGCTTGAAGAGGGGGAACAGCTGTTTGCTTTCGATTTCGACAGCTACTCGAGGGAGGGATCAGCACATATCCGTGCTCATACTACTACCTCTCAACAGTTAGCCGAAGAAGTGTCCAGATCACGGACTGAGAAAACCTTTGAAGAGATGATCCCAGAGTTGTATTGTGACTTTGAGGAAGTCTTCAAAAAGGAGTCTTTGACGAGTTGCCGCCACATAAACCCTGGGACCACGCTATTGAACTGGTCCCAGGTGAGCATGTCATTGACTGCAAAGTCTATAATCTCAGTCCTGGGGAACAGCGAGAACTTGATGCTTTCCTTGAAGAAAATCTCAGATCTGGTCGGATCCGCCCGTCGAAGTCACCAATTGCCTCACCCTTCTTCCTTGTCAAAAAAAAGGATGGGAAACTTCGCCTGGTGCAGGATTACCGAAAGCTCAATGCATCTACCATAAAAAATCGGTATCCGCTCCCTCTCATTCAGGAGCTCATTGGTAAGCTCAAGGGGGCAAAACATTTCACGAAGCTTGACATCCGCTGGGGATATAACAATGTGCAAATAAAGGAGGGTGATGAGTGGAAGGCGGCATTCTTGACCAATCGGGGACTTTACGAACCTTTGGTTATGTTCTTTGGTCTAACAAATTCGCCAGCCACCTTTCAGACTATGATGAACGATATCTTTCGAGACCTAATCAACGATGGAAAGGTTGTCATCTATCTTGATGATATCTTGATTTTCACCAAGGATCTCGAAGAGCATTGTCGAATCACCTGTCGTGTTTTGCAAATCCTCCGGGAAAACAAGCTGTACCTAAAGCCGGAAAAATGCGAATTTGAGAAGACCGAGATCGAGTACCTAGGCCTCATCATCTCGGAAGGACAGGTGCATATGGATCCCATTAAAGTCAACGGAATCCTTGATTGGCCTATTCCGACTATGAAACGTGAACTTCAAGCGTTTCTAGGATTCGTAAATTTTTATCGGAGATTTATTCGAGGGTACGGTGATCTCGCGAAACCCCTTATGAGTTTGACAGGCAATGCCGACTGGTCCTGGGGACCTGAGCAATCTGGAGCCTTTGAGGAAATCAAGTGTCGAGTTTCCTCAGCTCCTGTTCTCGCCATCCCCACTGATGATGATCCTTACTGTTTAGAAGCAGACAGTTCCGGAAAAGCCATTGGAGCGGTTCTTTCAGTGCCAAGATGGTGTTTGGAAACTGGTTGCATTTCTCTCGAAGTCTTTGAATGAAACTGAACAAAACTACGAGATATATGACCGGGAATTTCTCGCCATCATGACAGCTCTAGCGGAATGGCGCCACCATCTGATGGGAGCTGCAAATGACTTCGAGATCTGGACAGACCATTAGAATCTCGGATATTTCAAAAAGCCCCAGAAGTTGAATCGTCGTCAGGCACGGTGGGTGACAGAGTTAGCCAATTATCATTTTACTCTGCACCATAAACCCGGAAAAACGAACCAGAAGGCAGATCTTCTGTCGAGATGAGCAGATCATGAGACAGGGGAAAAGGATAATGAGAATGTCACCATGCTAAAGCCTGAAATCTTCCGGAAGGTTGAGCTTGTGAGTGAGGATGATGATTTTCTTACTCGTTCGCGTCATCGTCATGCGAATCGTGACGCAATCGTAACCAAAAAGCTCATCTTGAAGGAAAAGGGCTGGGCTGAGGCCGACAATCTCGTGACGTGGAAAGGTTGGGTATATATTCCCATAGACTGAAAACTTCGAGAAGACATTATTCGGAAACATCATGATTCAACACTTGCAGGACACCCGGGAAGGTATAAGACTCACGAGCTCATTACACAAGATTACTGGTGGCCTCGCATTCTCTCTGATATTCGAAAATATGTCGAGGGATGTGAGAATTGTCAGCGGACGAAACCAAAACACACTTTCCTGGCTGCTCTGTTGCATCCAAATCAAATTCCAACACAATCCTGGGAACATATCTCTGTCGATATCATTGGACTCATTCCCGAGTCGGCGGGGAACAATGCTATCTTGGTCATTTTTGACCGTTTTTCTAAAATGATCAAGGTAATCCCAACAAGCACAGAGATTACTTCCCTAGGTGTCGCACGATGTTTTCGAGACCATGTTTTCCAAAGCCATGGAATCCCCCAGAAGGTCATCAGCGATCGAGGATCCAATTTCGTTTCTGCTTTCATGCAGGGACTTCTACAAACTTCTCCAAATTGAGAGCAATGCTAGCACAGCTTATCATCCGCAGACAGATGGACAAATGGAGCGCATAAATCAGGAGATCAAGCATTATTTGCGAGTTTTCTGCAGTTATCATCAATCTGACTGGTCCGAATGGCTCCTGCTAGCTGAATTCTCTTACAATGATAAGACTCAGATGCATCAGTAAATTCACACATTCCTTAATGTCCTTAATCAGCTTATCTCACTTATTTCAAAACTTGTTTTCTCTCTCTCACATCATTCACCTGGCATATCTTGTATTTTTTTAATGTGAAACATAATAAAACATGTCCATTAATACATCTCAACATTTTTTTCTTAATACATTCAAGTTGAAATTTCGGACAAGTAGATCCACTTTCAACAAGGTGGTTAAGTGTGAATAAGTCTGTTTAAGGGCAAAATAAGGAATGTGTGAATTTCCTGATGCTGTCTACAGGTCACTCCCCTTTCTTCTTGAACTATGGTTTTCATCCACGAAAGGGAACTGGCTATCGACGAGAAGTGAGGGTTGAGGCAGCGCAGGAATTTGCGGATCGAATGCGGAAAACTCGCGCAGAGGCAGAGTCGGCATTGAAGAAAGCTGCGGAAGATATGAAACGATTTTACGATCGAAAGAGAAGTGAATCTTACAACTTCAAAATCGGGGACCGTGTCTGGCTCGAAGCTACTAATATTTCATCCGATCGACCTACGAAGAAGCTAGACGACAAAAGATATGGACCCTTCAAGATTCTTTCAAAGCACGGTGAATCTGCTTACAAACTTGCCCTGCCTGTAACTTGGAAATCGATCCATCCCGTGTTCAACGAATGCGTTCTTTCACCTTTCAAACCTGCCGAGTATCCTTCACAGAGGAAACCTCCTCCTCCCCCTTCGGTTTCGGTCGACGGTTATGAAGAACAAGAAGTTGAAGAGATTTTGGATTCGCGACTTCGGAGAGATCAGTTGGAATATCTCGTGCACTGGAAGGGATATCCACGTGAGGAGCGAGAGTGGTTAAAAGCAGCAGAACTCCAGAACACACCTCAATCCATCGCCGAATTTCACCGCAAACATCCCGCGGCTCCATGTCCTATGCCAGTGATGAGGTTGAGGTTCCAAGCCCTTCAAAACTTCACTATTCTCAATCATGTGCCAAGACGTTTATTCAATTGGGAAGACGGTACTTACGAGCGCAATCGATCCTAGTCGCGGGACGCGACTCTTGAGAAGGAGGTACTGTCATGAACAACGTTTTTCAGTTTCCTTTTTGGTATTCCTTACTAGTTAGTACACCGCACTTCTCCTTTTTCCTTTCTTTAGTCTTGCGCTCGTCTGTTTTGATAGGTATAGCTTCAATGTTGTACCTACCGGTCTTGCTAACGTCGTCTGTTTTGATAGTCCGTTGTGGTTGTCGCTCCGCGTCTCGCCTCGGCCTTTCTCGTCCTGATAGTCTGTTACATCATGATGGTAGTTTAATAAAATCGGCGCGTGGGTATTACTATTATGGAGCTTGGAGGCTGCACAGGTCAAATAAGAGGGATGGGGGATCCGTGCAAGGAATGGGTGTAGTATAATAATACTACTATACACGGGCAGGTTTGAGTCACACGGTTCGGTTGTGGCCAAATCAGGGATCTGTGTACCAGCGCTGTAGATAGTCAAGAGCGCCTTGCCTTTCACTTTGTCCGATTGCCACGGAGGATGGAGTCACATGCGTCTTCATCGACATTGATCATCATCTGCCTGGAGTTGAATGTGTCGGCATGTAAGAACAGACGGACGTCCTGGCATAGTTCCCACCCACTGATCTGTCTGCCTTCGTTCAAAATGGATGAGCTGCATGGAGCAATAACGGCGGAATCTGGGGGCGGGGTTGCGCTTATCTTATTTTTAGAGCCGTTCTGTCACAGCCACCAGAAGGAGTGAAGCTCAAGCCAACGCAAACTGTGGTGCTTCATAAGCATGGCATGCCAAGCTGATGCTAAGCACCAACAGTTACCCATGGACGTGTATCGGTATTTATGAACAAGTTTTAATATATTAATATGACAGTATGGGAGGCTGAGGTATGCACCCGGAAGCAGTGAGTGGAAGATAGTTTACCCTAATGACTGAAGATGGGGCGCAAAACGAATATGTAGGTGATATGGGACCCGTGTTCAAGCTCAAGTCTGATGTATCGACCTTCTAAGCTACCAGTCATCAAGGATCGAGGATGGGATGGGTGGTAGACAGAATGAGTGGTAGGAGAAGATGGAATTAGTGGGGGCGTGGGTGTGAATGAAGTTCAGGTGAGCAGGGCTGAGAGTTCAGGTCATGCTGTACATGTACTAAAATATTTTCATGTTGTTCAATGGCAGTTCGCCACGATAGACGCACAGGAGCCCTCAGCCCAAATGCGAACGACGAGAGTGGCCTTCAGCCAGACGAACAAGAAGGGCCTCCAGCCGGACGAATAAGAAAGGTCCTCCAGCCCAGCACAGATCGACACTTACCTAGTTCGAGAGTACTTGCACAGGGCAGTAATTCTCTTTTTCTCCCTCAATTTATTTAATTTAATTTTACTAGGAAACACTAGTACACCTATAGTTCGAGTGCCCATGCGGTACAGACGTCATGTCATTCCCTCTCCAACTCCAGTGGGTGGCGGGGAACGTCCTGAAATTGAAGGTCAAGCGCCAAGTCACATGGAAGGCATGGCTGCAGAAAGATTGACAGAGTGCAGTAAATTTAAAACTGACAAAATTCTCTCCCATGGGTGGTTTCATCAACTGCACAGTTTTTCTGATGCATCAGCATATAGCTGCTCGAACGTTTGGATCCGATGAAATCCTCTTCCCACTATTGTGGGAGTCGTGTCGCCGAATGTCATGGTAAGATTTAAACTCGTCAGCTGGCTTCCCAACATTCAAGCGTACTAATATCAGACGTCTGAAGCTATGGCACGCATAGGTTTAATATAAAGGTCTTAGTGCTCGGGTGTCGCTGTGAGAAGTAATACCGGATAACACCCCTGCTCGTGTATCTGTCCTGTGGGTTTCTCATCTTCATTTGACGCTTTCAACAGGCAGGACCAGTCACCAGTCAAGATGCCCTGGCGTCTCCCAGTCACGCAAGAACGGACTGTCACTTGCTGCAATGACTTGGACAAGGAAAAAAAGCACGGCACAGAGCAGAGATATGTCAGCCCTACCACTGGGATCTGTCGAAAGCTTGTCGTGCAAGCTGTCACTCCCATCGGCGAGCACGAAGTTGCCATCAGCGCCAACACCAATCAGGCAAGCAAAATCGCCTTACAGCTAGCCAATCCCACCATTCGATGGTGGATCATTTTTGAATGCCTAGGCTTATGGTTGTGCTTGACGTTGAAGCTCTTATTGTCATTCATCTGGCTGCTCGTACAACTTTTCTATCCCAATGACATGGCGGATGACACTGCGGAGGATACGGAGTCATATGGCACTGTATACTACAAGCGGTACGCTCGCAAGTTCCGTGGTCAGCTATGGGCAGCTCGTTCATCTAAGGAGCGTTCTTCGCGCATTATTGAGGAGGGCGAGATGGACGTCCCTACACATAACCTTTATCCTCGACTTCTTATTATCCACGACCCGATCCGAAATGAATGGGTCCCATGTGCAGATCGCGATATCATCATCCATACCAAATTCATCGCCATCTCTTTCTGCAACGCTGATGCCTACAATAAATTTGGCCCAGACCCGGAGACAGAAAAGGCTCAGTTCATAGAGGAGGTTCGTGCAGCGGTGCTCGGACAGAAATACGATGCGTATTGGCTCGACTTGGAGTGTGTAGGAGGGACGCGACTAGAGAAGAGTCGGGATTTGTACTGCATGGCGGATGTCTACCGTGGAGCAGGGGTGACTTTGATCATGCTTGGCAAATCTGCGAATGGGGAGAACAAGTGCTGGAGAGTCTGGGGCGAACGGGTGTGGACTATGCCAGAAGCCCTCCTGAGCCCTCGCCTTTGCTACAAGTTCCGAGATCGGGAAGAAGTTACGCCGTTGTCGTTGTTTCAGCTGGCCAACCTGGCCTATACAAACTACTCTACTGAACAGGCTATCATCAACGCATACAGCGGGAAGGATCCGCTTGAGAGGTTGGAGCGCTTGACGCTGTTGAAATCAGCTATATGGCAGCGCGGTTCTTCAGCTCTAGCACCAGGTGTTGCTCCTCCCCCGTCAAAGCCGGATATGATAGGCGAGACGCCTGTCACAGATGGGGCGTACAAGGCTGAGCGTACGTATGCGCTGATGGGCTTTTTTGAGCACCGGATTCACCCAAACCGCTTCGAGGGCGATTTGCACGCTCTTGTGAGGCTGTCAATGGCCAACGACAATGACCGTATCGTTGAGCGGATGGTATCCATGCTGCCCTCGACCATCACCAAGGAGATGGCGTGTTGGTACTCTGACAATGATATCTACGGCGCCAACCTCTGGGATATTCTACCAGAAATCCAGGTCGCTGGTATCACGGAAAATGGAGCTCTTGTGGTTGACGGGTGTCGTGCGGCAGCTATCAGATGGAAAGATTTCCCGGAGGTCACGTTTGTGTCCCCAGATTCGTTGAAGAGGACCATTATCGGTTTCGTTCCGTATCTCTCGTGGCCAATCATTATCGCCGGGCTAGGTGTTGTTATGACCAACCGAGTGGGAGACATCACACTCGTCGTCCTCGGAGTCGTGCTCCTCATTATTTCCCCTTGGCTGTTTGTTTACAGTCAATCTGGGCGTATCCTCGACGCACATCCATGGTTAATCGGGGTGAAAGGGGTCATCAGCATCACAGAGGCAGAGAAGCACTTGTACGGTGCCACCACTAAAAAACACTTCCCAAGAATGAATTTCACGCCGAGCGGATCAGAGTTCTCAGTTGCAGAACAAGGCACAAAACGGAAAGGGTCGCCCACACAATACGACGATGCCAAAAAATCAGAGAGCGGGCCAGGTACGAGACACATTTATACGCTCATCGACACATGCTCGTCGACGATGTACTATTTCCGTGCGGAGCGACCACCGACGGTATGTATATTCGCCGGACGGGAGGGAGGGCTTGGGAGGTTTGTGCTGTGTTCAGAGAGGTGTAATATTAATGAGCTGCATAAGGAGAGCGTGTTGAGGATGCCGACGGAGATCAGCCAGAAAATGGAGTTGTGTGGATGGATCGCACTTGGATGAGATTGTTTTGCTAGTATCTTTCTCTATCTTTGAACATGTAGTATTACATGTACCAAATTTTGTAGAGCGTTTTACGGTCATGTGACTTTCGGGGTCCGCTACCGACATTTATGTAGTTTGTTCACGTTCAACCTTCTCGCTTTTTATTTAATGACATCAGTGTCAGAAACAAAACAACTTGACCCATGCACGTGTACATGAGCCCTGGCCTCATCACCATCCATACATTGTCTACCTCACTACCCTCTACACCAGCTTGCCCATACTAAGTACTAGTACTATCAGCACCATTGTACACATGTTCAGATGCGTGCTAAGGCACTCTCGCAAGACACGAAGAAGCTCGCAGTCATCTCAATTCTGGGGAAGTACCCTACTTTGAAAAACCTTTACTAATCACTATTCTTTTAGTAAGTACGGTCACTTCGGAGTGACCATACACCTCTACAATTTCGTCACAATTTGTGTTATCGAAGCCGTCCGTTTTATGCTCACGAGGCGAAGCCAAGGTTCTGACAGTTTTGATCTACAACTGGCGTGACCCTCGCGCAGGCCAAGATAAGAATGAGATCCGATCCGCCCCCAGGGCCGAATGTGCCCCTAGCAGAATGTCCCCAAGCACGCGTTCTTACTTTGTCCGGGGCTTACTGAGCGTACTTTACATAATGACACCAGAGGGGCCTGACGATAACTGAGTCCTAGACGTCACTATCGCGTTCAAGGAAGGTTTGACAGCCCTGCAAAACTCATGTCAAAGATTCAAATTTATCCCTTGGGCGTTTTGTGGCGTAGGAATGAATGGAGGAGTCGATTTTCAGGTATTTAAAGTAACTCTTATCGCAGGTTCAGCGATGCAACATGAGTCTATTAAAGATCCCCTTCCTCGTGGCTTCGGCCATTGGCATGCACATCTCGATGACTTCTCGCTCTCTGCCACCGTCATCTCAAGAGAAGGTGGTGCCATCAGTGTCCGAATCATTCATTACCCTGTTTCTACATCTTCAGGGTCCAGATTCATTCAAGGTGTGTTTCTCCCGTATATCGATTTTTATCTGTATGGATCGGTGGACAATGTAACAGATTAGCGCATGGGCAGCATCACTTGTTGAAGTGGCCAACATCCTAGCCACGCATATAGGTCCCTCGCATATTCCAGAGGGCGTCTATGGGGCTAGCGCTGTGCGGTTTTTACGCACACTTCACCCCACGCCAATCACTCCTATTTTCCTTGCTGGCAGTCTTTTTGTCATAGCCGGCGGCGTGCTCAGGCTTTATTGCATGCTGACCTTGGGAAAGTTCTGGAGCTTCCCGCTCAGCGTCAGAAAAGAGCACGAAATCATAACAAGCGGGCCATACTCTATCGTCCGCCATCCGAGCTACACTGGTTTCCTTCTTCAATACGTTGGCATTGTCATCATGCACGGGAGCCAAGGCTCGTGGATGAGGCAGTCTGGAATTCTACAAGTGCCTTACATGAAAGTATTAGCAACGATTGTCCTCCTCATGTATACAGCAATCGCTTCGGTTGCCATCGACCGATCTTTAGTGGAGGACAAGATTCTTCAGCGTGCTCTGGGAGAGGATTGGGAGAATTGGGCTAAGAAGGTGAAATATAGTTTACTTCCTGGGATTTATTGATGGCATACATGCTGAGTGCGGCTCTGATCGTAATTACTTGTTTGATGGATTGATGTTTGATGATGTCGATTGTATGCTATATATCATGCAGTGAAACCTGTAAACTACAGTAGAATGTTCTACTTTTTTGTGACGGTTGTTTCTTTCATTGATTGAACAGAGGAAACGGGCGTTGTGTCACAACGCCTAACAGAAACCTTGCTTACGCTAATAAATATGTACGATATATATTCTTTTATCTAGGCCTATAGCTTCTCTATCAAATCTACTTGGAATCTATATTGGATATAAGCATGACGGGGTGGACACAATTGACACTGAGCCGCCGGAAATACGTGCACATATATGTTAGATATAAATATCACGACCAACTCCTTCCCTGCAGAGCACCCGACATGCAGCGAACACAGCAAGCATTTCCCATGCTACACGCTAATGCTTGTTGACACATGCACACGCTCTTGAAAAGCAATCGAAGGCATGTCGGGCCCTCCTTCGGAGTTATCCACGAGCTTCGCGTGATATTCTCGAACGTCAAGGATCAGGCGTGGTCCCAGCACACACATCACCGTGACTATGAAAGTTTGAGCCAAACCAAGATAAATCTGATGTCCCACGACAACTGAGTCCTGTAGTAATGATGAACGATGGTCAGAAGTCAGTGTCATATCGACATACCGCTATGCTCGCTAGAAGCACATAACGGAGGATGAAGCGAGAAACAACAACAAAACTAAGGGTGCAGAACTTCAGCAGAAAAGGAAAATTGCATCTGCATCATAAGCTCACCTCGCAAAGTAAACTACGTGTGTTTTTGTTAACACCGCGAAACAGTCCCCAGCACTAAGCCATCCTGTCAATGGTCGCTGCAGCTTCCGGAGGCGTTTGACAGCAATCCGGACTGCGAGACATAGTGCGAGGACCTCCCATGCAGCGGGGACCATCCAAGTCATCAAAGCCAAAAGTAGATTATTCGAGCCATCTTGAAAGTCAGAAGAGCACTGAGCGTTGCCGAAGAGAATGAACACCTCTGATATTTGCAAATGAGCCTCGCGTATTCAAGTCTGTCATCCACCAGAATTAAAGCTTACCCGATAAAACACGACTCGTGACCATTGCGGCGATCACTCCGTCGGCGATGTTGACAGCCAGGAAGATGACGCTGAGAGATATCAGTACTTTTCTGGATTGCTGGTGCATGGCATGTAACCGAGCGATCATGATGACTTGCGCGATGTGTCAGTCCAATCAAGGCAATGCAGCTGCGTAGCTCACCGCCCAATATTGCAGTCACACCGACATTCATCCAACTCAGTGCGTCGAACATCATATGGCCTGAAAAATCAAATAACGTTGGTCGACAGCTTCGGATGATCACAGACTTTAAACAAACTCACAGCTATAGCAATCATTATATTGAAACAGGAAGCTCGATAACTCACTCACCCCTGCAGGGGAGTACAGTTAATTAGATATGAATGGCAGGCAGCGGTGCAGAATACTCACCGAATCTATCACCGAATTTGACGGAAGGGATACTATATGCTATCGATCAGAGGAAAAAGATACAGTGTATGTGAATAGACATACGCTGAACGCCGATGCTGAGTATGAGAGACAGCTGATTAACACAACATCAATTGCTTAGCCATCCAACATACATAGCATGCAGTATACCAGCGTAGCGGACCTAGAATATGGTCAGGTCAGTATAACGTCTCGACCGCGTTTGTAACACAAGATACATGCGCTGAGATACAGAACAGTCATGGGTGACCAATGTTGTCTCTGCCGCGCATTAATTATATTTTCGCGTGTTTTCTGATGCGAGACTCTGCTCACCCAGACCAATTCGACCTGTAAATACGTTATTAGAGATATGGATGCTCCGGTAATGATACCAACCTACCTCTCGTCCAAACGTCAATACTGGAACACACCAGAAGTATACCAGTGATACTTGAATACTATCTTACTCACCCCAATCATACATCACCCCAAAAGAGAAGGCAGCTGCGAAACCGTGAGGTCAGATCGTCACATCGCCATGCATCATCCAACTGGTTCTCCACGAACCAACAACATAACTGGTCATTTGGGCCGAAAGCATGTACGACCACCAAACAGGATCATTTGAGACTAGGGTCATGCTGTTAGAAGATGGGTGCGAATCTGGTGACAGGTGGCGTCGTCTGTGCTAAATATCCCACCATTCAGCGTTTTTACCGCCGAAATAAATAGTAACCTGCTTTGAATAACCACATGCAGCAATTTCGTAAGAAAGAGGAAGTCGAACCACGCCGGGCCTGACAGGATCAAAGTCGATGCTAATGGTGAACTTCGAAGCGGTCACCCGCGGAACGAATGAACACCGAAAAAGATCGAAGTGATCTCAATATCTTGTTTCCGATGGCATTGTCAGATCTGCTTGCCAACAACGCCCATCGTCTCCATCTGAGCATCAGCTCTCCGAGGCTCCACCTTGCTCACCCGGGTCGGGGAGTATAACAGCTTGTCCAAGGTCACTTAACACGGTCACATTATATTGGCATGAAATGAAACGAAAAGTATGGGAGGTCCAAATGGAGCGAACGGATAACTCACCTGTCCCACCCGGGCTGCTAACAGCCCCTCAGAGCACACCTCTCCATACCTAATCATCTTACTCCTCGCCGCTCTCAGCACCTTTTGCCTTTTGCGCACCTCGTAGTTCTCCGAGCGCCTCGGACATCGGGCTATAATGTTACAAACATTCGCAAAGTATAGCTAGTCAGCGCTGTGTGGCTCTGATGAAAACCAATGTAAAACGTACAGCACCAAATCAATCATGCACATGATGAGTACAGATGCCTTATCAATTTGCATGACTAGATACATCCCGATCAATGTTTTACACGCACCTGTACAGTTACATGACCAAGCAGGAACTTGCTAGCAGGAGGCTATAAAAAAGGAAAAGGAAGAACAAAGGTTGTGGGAGCAGTGCAATATTAATGAAGCAGTGTAAACGCAACGCCTAGTACTACTACTACTTACTATGGCCAGTCAGTTCTGCCGGTTATAACCGGCAAAACCGGTAGTTGTTTTACCGGGGCAGCAAAACTGTCATGATGTAGACTATGCATATGATATTCCTAACGACGACATCAATGTTGCCTCGTCTCATCCCTCATCCTGACTATTGTAAATTTAATTAACCACCTCAACCTCATCTAGATTAGCTTGTGGGGTCGTTCCTTGTTCGACCCGATCCAACTCGCCAAATAAATTGCGAGTCTCGGATACCCTGGAGTTCTGCCAGGTTCTGCCACCCTTCCTTCGCGTGAGTTTTGGACAACACTGGCCCGGCCCCATGAAAGCAATCATTGGGGGTACACGTGATCGATTGATCCTTACAAAAGTAAAGCTCCCGTGAATCAAATTTGAAAAAAATCTGCCAGTGAGGCAGGCGGGACACCATGGTAGCTGCAGCTGCAGCACCGCGGACATATGGAGCGTCCGACGTTTAAACGTTAGGCTGCGAGATAGGACCTCCCATATAGTGGGAAGTATCCAACTCATGGAATCCATACCTATAAGTTGATCATCTCAAGCTCGGATCCCTCCAACTCAGAAGCGCATTGATGGGTGCCGGACAGAATCACTATCTCCTCTGATATTCGTCAATGAGCCTCGTGCACTAAATTTTGTCATCCATAATGAAAGTTTATCAACTAAAACGTGTCCCACTATCATTGCGGCGATAACCCCGCTGGTGATATTGATCGCCAAGAAGATGACAACTGAGAGAGATCAGCGCCTTCCAGGATCGCTGATACATGGCATGTAAGCGAATGATCATAGTGACTTGAATCATGTGTCAGTAAAGTCAATATCACTGACATGTTGTAGTAGCTCGCCACCTAGTGTTGCAATTACGATCGACAATTTCCTAAGGATGTTAGTAGTTCTTTCATCATTCTATGATATCTTGCTCACCCCACTCGTAAGGCACCGCAGCCAAGACCTGCTACTATCTCTCCATGAACTCAATAAATAGCTGGAAATACGAAATGAATTGATCAGCGTCCACCAACTGGGATCCCAGTACACTTGTGCCTTTCTCTTTCTATCCTGTGGCGTGCGTCGTTATGCGTTTCCTGGCGATGATGTTCCTCCTTATTCCTCCCAGATAGGCTACCACCATTCCAGCGCTTTAAGGCTGAAATGAGCACAATGGGAACGACATCTGTACCCCATTCCTGTTTTGATCGATTGAAGGAAACATAGGAAACGCACAACCCCATTTCTAGCCAATCTGCGTCACATCAATTTGCAGTGATAATCCGTGCGCAGTCTACGAGCGCCTGTACTTAGGTAGGGAGACGTCATGTCGTAGCCAGAGGTGGAGAAGGTGAATAAACCATCACGATCCCCAAGGTGCACAACATCGACAGAATGACCCGGAAACTTAATAAGAATAATGCACCGGTTTTCCCTGTCTGATCGCCTCAATAAGCCAACTCCGAACATACATACAGCATTTGAGTGCTCTTAGTACATACAATGATCATGAACTGCAATCGTGAATTTATCTGGCAAACGCAACGGCAAATTCTTCAGACCGAGATTCGAAATACGATCGCGAAGCAGAACTCGCGATCTCCACTGCTTCGAGATTGTCTTGAAGTCTAGGGTATGGCTGCATTGTGGCCAAAGTCATGGTAGTTTCACCAGTCTGCTCCATGATACCCCGACGGACTTTAAAGCCGTCAAACAAAGCAGCGGTTTCTTCAAGAGTACGAGCTGGAAAAAAAACAGTCCACGAGAGCTCGATGAGGCAAAGAGATAACAATCACCTCTCGTCTCGACGATATACACCATCACGAATAGGAGTTCCAAGACAAGCCATCCGCAGTAAAAGAGGTACTGTACAAAAAAGGTCGATCGATCGCATGAATGAGACCTGACGACTTACGTATTTCCATCCTATGGAGTCCAGAGCTACAGGATTGACGAGCGAGTTAAAAGCATTGGTCGAATAGATAGTAATATTCTGTAGCCGGCGTTAGGCAGCATCCAGAGACAGAACGAAAGCGACCGACCATAATGGCAAACCCTTTGGCACGAATATTATAAGGCAAAATCTCGAGCGTGTACAACACTAGTATCGCCGTATACGCAATGTCATAGAAAAAAAAGTATAAAAAAATGAGCGGCACGGTAGCTGCTCGAACTTGATCATTAGCTTGCACCAGCGTACATGCAAGGTGTTGAACATGCCTCTCGCAGCTACCACATTCCCAAACTGGCTAAAAAGAGCTGTCGTGACAGTCCACATAGAGAAGGCTGGACAGATGATAAGCCTTCAATTTAGCGTCACAGAACAGCACTGACCTATCAGCATGCCAATGTTTGAAATCAAGAAAATTTTCCTCCGCCCCAGTTTGTCCACCATCATCATGCCCACCAGCGCACTAGCTAAATTGAAAATCTGAACGCGTGAAATACGCATTAATTTTGAGTTCTGCTTCTGAGAAACCATGGATGAACCTGCAGGCCGCCGTTAATAGCTGCTTTCGTTTTAGTCTGGTTGATCCCGCTATTGAAACGTCTGTCAGGTTATGTACCATCCGACGTCCTTGAAAACATACACCCCATCCAAGACTGTGCTGATATAATACGACACCAGACCATTGCCGCTGAGGCGAACATCAATACCAGCCACGAAACTAGAACGAAACTGATCAAACCTCCATTGCGAGAATACTGCGATCCATATAACGGTAAACATGCGCTGTCTGTTTCCCGGAGTCGAGAAGCACCTCAAGTAGGATTTGCCAGAGACGAATTCTCGTTCAAGGTTCAAAGCATGTCGAATTTGAGCCATCTCGAAGGCTACTAGAGGGTTGCGTTCGTCCCCCCCATTTGCATGGCACTGAGCGAGGACACGTGCAGCTTGCGATTCCTGGAAAGAAACAGATGGGTATTCGATGCTTCACTTAATGAAAGGCATCGTCATGAATGCTCACCAAGCCTCTAGCCATTAGAAATCGAGGACTCTCTGGGATGAACCTGAAGGCGCTGGGTCACTTTGAGCAGGGCATGAGCTAACGGTCCTACCATATTAGCACCATTTGAATGACAGGAATGACCGCTTGAACGAATGAAGGGGCCCTCCATGACAACGGTGATGTCCCCGTCTCATCATAACTCCCCAGGCAGATCCAAGCCGCTGCCAGACATGTGTGAGATCAAATGTGTGACACTGAATCTCACATACAGATGATGCTGCCAGAATACCACATCGAATTGTACAGAGAGGTCATTTTTCCGCGCTGAAATGAGATTAGAGTCGATGAATGAGATACGAGGTGATTTGGCGCACATGCGTTGGATAGCTAAGTTCGCTGATGAGCAAGGGAGCAGCATTGATGGAAAAGGCCATCCCTAAACCGACTGAGACGTGGAGGATAAGTATATGAATGACTTTTTGGAATGTGCATCATACTAAGCACACGAGCGCCAATGAAGACTTGCATGGTCGTGGATGTGGCTTGCGTGAGAGCACCAACTAGCATGATGACTGCCCCGATGAACATAGTTGCTCGCCGTCCTAATAGATCAGATACATAAGGAGAAAATGGAGTTCCCTGAGAGCCAACATAAGCTTGGTGGTGATATGAACACAGTGCTACACCTTACGCTGAGGATGCCGATGTCATGTGCACAATTGATGAGTCCTGACGACCGTGAATAGAATTGGTACAGGAGAGCCAGGGGCTGCGTACCTAACTTCATGCCATGCGGATTATGGAAATACTCTTGCCATCCGGGTAAAATCTGCAGATCTAAGGTAACGCGAGTTAACCATCCACGACCATGATAACAATATTCGTGACCGACTATTTATCATCGAGGAATCAAAGCCATTAAGTGTTGATGATAAGAGCGGTAATATCAAACAGATGTTTAGCATCAGGATGCCTGGGCGGTCAGGCACATTATTAATTTGTATGCGCTTAACGAAGCTCGTACCACGATTCTTCCACCACGACTCCCGAAAAGTGAAGTCTGTGATCGTCCATTGCGGGACTGGCATTAAGGTGAACAAGTTGAGTTGGTGTGTAAGGGGACGTGAAGGTGATTAAATGACGGGTCGTGAGGCTTTTTATAAGGAACATGAGTGCGCGGACGCACTTGGCCTGGGCAATGTCGAAAAGATCAACCGTATTCCGGACCTTGCTGCGTGCAGTAGGTTATTTGATACATTTGGGGCAGGGGTAAGATCTTGAGACGTGGCGTCACGGTGGCAAATGCACCAATTAATCAGAGATGCGCTGGGAGATACGTCACAACACCTTGGTTTTCCTTATTTACCCCGGATTCGCTACTTCTGCCAACTACAAGTCTATCATGGTTACACAGCATCTTTGACGTACAGTGCGCAACTTGGCTTTTCGGAATGACCAGTATGCGCCGCCGCAGAAAGCCAGACCAATGAGATCCAATAAGACCATATTAGAATGTTGTTCACCGGTAAGTAATTTGGTGTTACTTGTTGCAACGTTGAACTTACCTGGCCTGAAAATTTTGATAAACCTGGAGGTTGATCCAGTTCAACTGGTTGAAGGTCTACTAGTACGCAGACTCGGACTGGACCAGAAATCGCAATATTCAATGTTGACAGCGAATGTCAGATCTCGCCGTCAGTCTCTCCCGCTGAACGGCAACAACGAGGGACAACGAGGCGGTCAAGATCACTACCCGATATATGTAGTAGTACCAGCTAGTCCTCCACAATGTTGCATGCAGGACGAGTTCAAAAAAAAATTGACTTCGCCACCTTTGCCGGGACCTTTACATCCAAATGAGGTCAAGTGACGGTGGGCAGTTCGAAGTCTGCGACTGTCTGCCATTCTGCCAGCCGGTTTGGCAACGGTTCTGCCTGCAGGGCAGATGCGGCAGAACTCCGCTCCAACGGCAGAATCCGGCAGAATGTCAAACTACAGGGATCAAACAGGGATCACAGCGAAAGATGGTCTAATAGCTTTCTTCACCAGCAACTGCATTTCCTTGATTACCTGTAGAGTAGAATCCTTTGAAACCACTCAATCACCCTCTCATCTATTATTGTTCCCCATGCTGCCCACGTTGGAGTCGGCGACCCGGGCAGAGTCCTTCGGGCTTTGTTATAGCATCGTTGCATAATGTCCTTCACCACTTCTTGCCTTGCTCGTGACATGCAGGCACACAGTCATGGATACACCTCTCCAATATTAATGTCGAACGCCTCTTCTCAGATATATGTAGCACTCGGTCTCTGCAGCACTGCAATAGACACGGTTCAAAAGCACTAGCAAAGATTTGAGCAAATTTTTATTACCATAGTCATCAGAAGGCCACGGCAAATGGCATCAACGTCATGCGCACATGCACACCGGCGCCCAGTCACGCATCAACATTGATGTAGCTGCTGGATGATGGAAATGAACCTCACGATGACCGTCGGATAGTGGCATGTGGGCATGCTGATGAGTCTTCTAATGGTGTTTCCTAGTGATATACTGTCGTACGCACGGCCCTGTAGCGCTTTGATAGGTTTGCCAAGTGGCAGAAGTGACGGTTCTGCCACTTCTGCCCGCACAATTGCGTGCAAATAGTTCTGCCCCCAGCACTAGGTATGAATCATTGATGAGCCTACAAGTAGGCTAAATATGTTCCGGGTGATAGCAATTGAGCCGTTGAATTGTACTAATACGCAACGAACAGAAAATATAAACAGCGGGGTGAGGAAAACCAACGATGATAAGTAGTCGCAGTACAGAAACAAGAGGCGAAATCCCCGCATTGAAACCAAAAGTTCGAAGATAACGATAACTTGACTCTATTTCGCCTATTTAACAAAGTCTCTTCAAACCTACTTCAGAACACCAATCAATAACTTAAATAGGCACCACGACCTCGAACAAAAAGAAGGAAATCCCCTGTTCTTTACTGAACTTAAATCACGTCGAGAATTTCTCATGCTAGATACTGCTGCTAGTTGATACATGTACGCGCTCCTGGAAAGTGATTGAAGTCATACCAGTTGCTGCATCGGAGTCGGCCACAAGTTTAGCGTGATATTCACGAATGCTAAGGATTAGGCGAGGCCCCAGCACAAACGACCGGACGAGTATGAGATTTTGAAGAAAACCATTGTACATCACAATCCGCAGGGACCATGGGTTTTATGGAAACCATGAACCATGGTCGCATGCAGAGGTCAGTAACAGACCGACATGCCATCCAGATCACCAGAGACATAGAAACGAGGCTGGAGCAAGACACAGCAACAAAACTAGCACATGTAGAACTTCAACGGCAAAAGATGATCACGTTCGCATTATGAACTCACCTGGCAAAGTTAAACCAAGTGACTTTGCATCAACACCGTGGAACAATCCCCGGTAGTCCCTCCTACCGATAGTCGTTGCAGTTCCCGGAAGCGTTTCACGGAAATCCAGATGGTAAGACACATTGCGAGGACCTCCCATAGAGTGGTAAACCCCCAATAAATGGAACAACAGAGAGTTGTGTTGTCTCCGAAGTGAAAAGTGGGCTGATGTGCCAGAGAGAACAAACATATCTGGTATTCGTTAATGAGCGTGATATATCAAGCCTTTCATCCATAATGATAACTCACCTGATCCCAATTCCCTCATTAACATGACGGTGGCCAAACTGTCAGCGATAGTGACACCTAGGAAGATGACGAAGAGAACCATTAGCATCTTTCTGCGCTGATACATGGCGTGTAACCGAATGACCATGATGACTTGCTTAATGTGTCAGTCGAGTCAAAATCACTTAAGTATTGCTAGCCCACCATGCTCAACCAATTCTGTATAACAAATAAAATACGGCCTAGCAAATCCGGTCAGTGATTGACCCCTGGGGACTACATACTGCACTCTAGGTTCTCGGGGCGGACGCAAGCAGGTGGAGCTGCTGGGAAGGCAGGATACCTGTAAACAAATCCAATCATGTCAGATGATGATACTTCGATCATGGGTGCATTTTCCGAATGATATGATTTCATTTGATTCACTTACAGTATTCGTATATTCGTATACGGCTACGACAGCGGTGATTCGTCAGAATTACCCCCGGTAATGACAGCTGCCAGCGCATCGTTAATTCATCCCCCACCTTGCCTGCATTTCCCATCCACGGACCATTGCATCACGAGCTGAGGCAACGACAATCATCCTATCTTCGTTTTCCCATTCTCATTCCTCTTCCGTAAGATCCCTATGGCTACCTCAGATGTTACAATCGATGAAGATATGGGCATAGATAACTGTGTGAAGAACGCATCTTTTTGGATCATGCAGATGATGGAGGCGCATGTGGCTGTAGCTTGATGATGCGAGGCGTACTGAATGAGTTTTGAGGAAGCTGAAGTCGGCTAATGCCTGAGGAGGAGCTCGCCTTTCAGTTTTTTTCGATGAGGCGGAAATACAAATAGAAACTCACACGAATTCCTTTAGGACCGTGAAGCGCTATTGGGGATACATGTACCCTATTGCACTAGGAAGGCTGCTTGACAATGGCCGCATTAGGGCCTTGATTGAGGGTTTCGAATTGAGAAAGTGCGTGCGTGAGTGCTCCAGGTCGTGGTGGGACACTGGGGGATTTGAGGGTGTTGAAGGGAACGTTCCACGATCATTGAAAGGCGCTGTATTGGGAGTTTTCATAAGAACACGTACGCATGGGAGGGCGACTATCACTAAGAAGATTTCAGGCAGGCAGAAGTGATAAAACATTTCAAACAAAATGACAGACGCTCTGAGCACGACAGTCGACCCTTGGTGAGAAGAAAACGTTGACGATTTGCGATGGAGCGTGACTAGCATGAACAGGTTGGTGGGTGCTATAGGCAGACTTTGAGAGGTTGTAAAGGACTGGGCAGATGGTGTGGGTGTGGGTCGGGACTGAAAAATACAAGTCGAAAATGTGATTGTAGGATGCGTGGACGCTCACGTTTTTCGACATTTATGGATAACCCGGAGTTGTGGCCTGCACCGATGCGCACTTAGTTTGGAGAAGTGAAAATCTAGAACTCTTAGATTTCCCCTTCTCCCAACTAAGGAGTCAACTGGGAAGGAAACTTGTAAGGAGATGTACGCGCAGTGGATCACATGGCTGAAGAGAAAAAACTGAGTCATTTTGCTCTTGTTTCTCATCCTCAAGGACATACCTCTGGTTGTATCGACTAGACTCGTGACCAGTCTAACATAGCGTAGTACTTGATAGACAGTCACCGGCACCTTGCAAGTGATTTGAGCCTGGAGGTTGCTGATCAGGTTACTAGTACAGAGTCCAGACACGTGATCGTCCGTTTGCGCTTAGGTTGCTCGTCTGCATGCCCAACTACAGTACCATAGTGCCACTTCGTAAACCAGCATTCCACCCCTTCATGGATATGTATTGCCACCAGCACGACATTGCATTGATATTCGTACCTGGGCCTCAGCATCCCAGTACTATGCTCCAACTTAAAGTAAGTACTTAGGTCCCATGGCATCCCGCTCTTTCAAAGTCGAACAGAAGCCACTCAGTGATGAAGTCGTACGGCCGCTGGACTACTTGGCCACAGCAAATCTATATCTACGGTGAGCATCCCGTCCTTTTTCAATTATTTTTCGATGAGCAAACCCATAAAGAACTGGCTCTGTACAATCTGTCAGTCAACTTGCAAGGGCTCTAACGCTATAAGACTTCTCAACCTCCAGCAACCTCTCCAAAGAAAGTAAACATCATCGCCACTGCATGACCATTTTCGCTTCTGCCGCCACAAAAGCCCTTATCCCACCATCAATGGTCGAGCATCCCATCGCTTCACGTGTCGTGTCATCAACCATAATGCACAGATGTGAAAGCAGAAACATGACTCACTGCTACATTACTAGAGTGGCCCGGGCCAGCAAGTAAAGTATCTCTACCACGCCGGTGAGTTACAGGGTTAAATACAAACTACTCATGCTTATACAAATTGAGTCACCGCAGCCTGTGCAGTCGATATCACGCAAGCACATCATAAGACAGGGCTCGTTG